TTGCCCGAGCTGTTAATGTGGCAGTTTGGTATCGATTCCGTAGATGCACCAACCGAATATGGTTGTCTTGTTGATGTGACTGCACAAGTGGCCGCGTAGACGTTGCCGTAGCATTGCCAAAGCGTTATTTACAGTTAAACAAAAAAAATTTATGAACACCTTATAGCTAAACAATGGATTCTATCGAAAAAAATAGATTGTCCATGAAAATTCTAAAAAAATAATTATGAGGCTTCAGACTTTTGTATAAAAAGATGTCACAAAATTACATTGTTGCAAGGTGTTATTGAGACTCATAGTCTTAAAACATATGAATGACGATACGATACGTTTGGAAGCGTATAAGTGCCACAGTCTATTTTTTTTAAATTACGTAACTTACATCTACGTAGATGATACTTTCACCAATGTAGATGATACCTTTTTTTAGACTGTGGCACTAATACACTTCCATAGAGACGGACGAAGGTCGTTTGTTAATAAAAGCAATCACGGCGGGGGACACCTGAAAATGGGCTTCACACATTGTACCCACGCGGGGAATCGAACCCGGGTCTTTGGCGTGACGAGCCAACGCTTTAACCACAAGGCTAGCCAACCGCCCCTCTCAGGGGTCCTAGAAACTCTTAGATAACGACACTGTATATTCTAAAACGTCTACTGAATGTAATACCCATAACTGTCGAGGACAATTACATCGCTTTTTGGTGCAGTAATAGTACGTATACTACATCATATATAACAGTTTTATTAACCAGGTAGGGGAACATACATTCTCAGATATTAACGATCTGTCACTTATCATTTTGAAACTGCTTTGAAAATCTAGATGTCGCAAGTTGAAGCCAACCGAAATATACCTGTCTAGACACATGAGGCAGCTGTTCTTAACAAGCTCTGATTTCTATACAATTAACCCCAATGTAAGACAGCACCGAGACTGGTTATACAGTGATAGATGCGGATAAAGACTTGTACTAACTCAGGTCACCACGAGCAATAGAGTGCTGGGGACCTTTATCAATCCAGGTCCCCACAAGCAATAATGAGCTGGGAATCTATACCAACCAAGGTCCCCACAGTGAGACAAGCAACAGAGAGTTGGTGACCTATGCTAACCCAGGTCCCCACAAGCAACAGAGAGCTGGGGACATATGCTAACCCAGGTCCCCACAGTGAGACAAGCAACAGAGAGCTGGGGACCTATGCTAACCCAGGTCCCCACAAGCAACAGAGAGCTGGGGACATATGCTTACCCAGGTTCCCACAAGCAACAGAGAGCTGGGGACCTATGCTAACCCAGGTCCCCACAGTGAGACAAGCAACAGAGAGCTGGGGACCTATGCTAACCCAGGTCCCCACAGTGAGACAAGCAACAGAGAGCTGGGGACCTATACTAACCCAGGTCCCCACAGTGAGACAAGCAACAGAGTGCTGGGGACCTATGCTAACCCAGGTCCCCACAGTGAGACAAGCAACAGAGAGCTGGGGACCTATGCTAACCCAGGTCCCCACAAGCAGCAGGGAGCTGGGGACATATGCTAACCCAGGTCCCCACAGAGACAAGCAACAGAGAGCTGGGGACCTATGCTAACCCAATTCCCCACAGTGAGACAAGGAACAGAGAGCTGGGGACCTATGCTAACCCAGGTCCCCACAGTGAGACAAGCAACAGAGAGCTGGGGACCTATGCTAACCCAGGTCCCCACAGAGACAAGCAACAGAGAGCTGGGGACCTATGCTAACCCAATTCCCCACAGTGAGACAAGGAACAGAGAGCTTGGGACATATGCTAACCCAGGTCCCCACAGTGAGACAAGCAGCAGAGAGCTTGGGACATATGCTAACCCAGGTCCCCACAGAGACAAGCAGCAGAGAGCTGGGGACCTATGCTAACCCAATTCCCCACAGTGAGACAAGGAACAGAGAGCTGGGGACCTATGCTAACCCAGGTCCCCACAGTGAGACAAGCAACAGAGAGCTTGGGACATATGCTAACCCAGGTCCCCACAGTGAGACAAGCAACAGAGAGCTTGGGACCTATGCTAACCCAGGTCCCCACAGTGAGACAAGCAACAGAGAGCTGGGGACCTATACTAACCCAGGTCCCCACAGTGAGACAAGCATCAGAGAGCTGGGGACCTATGCTAACCCAGGTCCCCACAGTGAGACAAGCAACAGAGAGCTGGGGACCTATGCTAACCCAGGTCCCCACAGTGAGACAAGCAACGGAGAGCTGGGGACCTATGCTAACCCAGGTCCCCACAGTGAGACAAGGAACAGAGAGCTTGGGACCTATGCCTACCCAGGTCCCCACAGTGAGACAAGCAACAGAGAGCTGTAGACCTATGCTTACCCAGGTCCCCACAGTGAGACAAGCAACAGAGAGCTGGGGACCTATGCTAACCCAGGTCCCCACAGTGAGACAAGGAACAGAGCTGGGGACCTATGCTAACCCAGGTCCCCACAGTGAGACAAGCAGCAGAGAGCTGGGGACCTCATACCAACCAGCTCTCTATTGCTTGTCACACTGTGCAGACCTTGGATAGTATAGGTCCCAACAGTGTGACAACCAATAGAGAGCTAGGGACCTATACTAACCCAGGTCCTCACAACCAACAGAGAGCTGGGGACATATGCTAACCAGGTCCCCACAGTGAGACAAGCAATAGAGAGCTGGGGACCCATGCTAACCCAGGTCCTCACAAGCAATAGAAAGATGGGGACCTATACAAACCAGCTCTCTATTGCTTGTGGGGACCTGGGTTAGTATAGGTCCCCAGCTCTCTATTGCTTGTCACACTGTGCAGACCTTGGATAGTATAGGTCCCAACAGTGTGACAACCAATAGAGAGCTAGGGACCTATACTAACCCAGGTCGCCACAACCAATAGAGAGCTATGGACCTATACTAACCCAGGTCCCCACATCCAATAGAGAGCTGGGCAGGTCCCCAGAGTAATATAAAAATTTTCCAACATGTTTATTGTAATAATTTTGAAATCTTTAATGAAAAATTAATTCAAAATTATTTGAAGAAAAAACTAACCCATTCATGAGAAAATATCATTTAATGATTTGTACAAATATACACAAAAAATGGACCACAATGTCACAAATATACACAAAACATGGACCACAGTGTCACAGGATGTCTACAATGTTGACCCTAAACTCTGCCCTCACAAGCGTGTGGCTGCTCGGGCACATAGAGAATCTCACCAGTGTCTTTTGATATCAAATATATCAACACAAGTCGATATAAGTTTTAACATTGACGATGATGTCACAATGGTCTGCAAAGCATTATGATGCTAGTTCTGCGGAAGACTTTCTGGATGATAAATATACTCCCTTACTGGGAGTGAATGAATGCTGTGACGTGACTGACTCACTTCGATATCACACACCTTGTGCGATGTGTGTCCGCCCTCTGGCTTCTAGTACTGCCGCTGCTGCTGTATACAAAGGGAGATAACTTCACCTGTTCTTCACACAGTCTCATATGAATTTGGTTTGGTTTGGTTTGTTGTTGTTTAACGCCGCACCCAGCAATATTCCAGCTATATGAAGGCGGTCTGTAAATAATCGAGTCTGGACCAGACAATCCAGTGATTGCCATCATGAGCATCAATCCACGCAATTGGGATACGATGACATGAATCAACCAAGTCAGTGAGCCTGACCACCCGATCCCGTTAGTTGCCTTTTACGACAAGCATAGTCGCCTTTTACAGCAAGCATGGGTTGCTGAAGACCTATTCTACCCTGAAATCTTCACGGGTCTCTGGCTTCTAGTACTGCCGCTGTTGTATACAAAGGGAGATAACTTCACCTTTCTTCACACAGTCCTATATGGGGACATATGGTTAACTTTTCTTAGTACACGACCAGTGATCTTTCTTCAGCTTTCTACAAACTCGATCCACAAGCCTCTGTAGCTCACCTCTCTTATGAAGCAACAATCTTTGACACCTTACTTTGCTACAGAAGTATCCCAAGTGAGTTAAAGAAAACTGGGTGTAAAAGATTCTGTGAAAAAGAAACACTCGACAACATGCGGGACAATGACTCCTTGAACAAACTTGGATCTTCCAACAGACATAACATTCACATAAACTTCAAGCTCTGTGCCCTATGGCACTTAATAACAAGGTTAAAACCTTTTCATAAAATTTATTTTTTGAAATGTTTATAAAGAAATAACTTACGAAAATAATTTGATGTTAACAAGATTTCTTAATAAGAAGGATCCAGCATGCCAAATTTCAGTGCCAAGATCAGTCAAGCAGTATCAGAGGGGAAGATATTTAAGAGCATGATAAAAATGCAAAGTTCAATGTTGGGGTTACTGGTGGTGGTAGGGCCATGTACCGGTTAAGTAATCTGTCAAAAGAAAGAGACCACTCTTAGAAGTGCCCTTGGTGCCAAGCCTTCCTTGACGCTGGCAATGGCTGTTTGTGCACATGGTGCATGCACACTGTGTGCATGCGTGAGCGCTTGTTCTAGTCAGGACTAATGTTGAGTTGCTAGCCAACTGAGATATCATGCCGCAGTTTAACATGAATACCCCACTCAGGCACAGTATGTCTGCTGTAGATCAGACAGTTTTCTCCAGTTCGTACACAGCAATGTCTGTGCTGTAGATCAGACAGTATTCTCCAGTTCGTACACAGCAATAATGTCTGTGTTGTAGATCAGACAGTATTCTCCAGTTCGTACACAGCAATGTCTGTGCTGTAGATCAGACAGTATTCTCCAGTTCGTATAAAGCAATAATGTCTGTGATGTAGATCAGACAGTATCTCCAGTTTGTATACGGCAATAATGTCTGTGTTGTAGATCAGACAGTTTTCTCCAGTTTGTATACGGCAATAATGTCTGTGCTGTAGATCAGACAGTATTCTCCAGTTTGTACACAGCAATGTCTGTGCTGTAGATCAGACAGTATTCTCCAGTTCGTATAAAGCAATAATGTCTGTGATGTAGATCAGACAGTATCTCCAGTTTGTATACGGCAATAATGTCTGTGCTGTAGATCAGACAGTATTCTCCAGTTTGTACACAGCAATGTCTGTGTTGTAGATCAGACAGTATTCTCCAGTTTGTACATGGCAATAATGTCTGTGATGTAGATCAGACAGTATTCTCCAGTTTGTACACAGCAATAATGTCTGTGTTGTAGATCAGACAGTATTCTCCAGTTCGTATACAGCAATAATGTCTGTGTTGTAGATCAGACAGTATTCTCCAGTTTGTACACAGCAATGTCTGTGATGTAGATCAGACAGTATTCTCCAGTTTGTACACAGCAATGTCTGTGTTGTAGATCAGACAGTATTCTCCAGTTCGTATACAGCAATAATGTCTGTGTTGTAGATCAGACAGTATTCTCCAGTTCGTATACAGCAATAATGTCTGTGTTGTAGATCAGACAGTATTCTCCGGTTCGTACACAGCAATGTCTGTTATGTAGATCTGACAGTATTCTCCAGATTGTACACAGCATTAATGTCTGTGTTGTAGATCAGACAGTATTCTCCAGTTCGTATACAGCAATGTCTGTGTTGTAGATCAGACAGTATTCTCCAGTTCGTACACAGCAATAATGTCTGTGTTGTAGATGAGACAGTATTCTCCAGTTTGTACACAGCAATGTCTGTGCTGTAGATCAGACAGTATTCTCCAGTTTGTACACAGCAATTTCTGTTATGTAGATCTGACAGTATTCTCCAGTTCGTACACAGCAATAATGTCTGTGCTGTAGATCAGACAGTATTCTCCAGTTCGTACACAGCAAAAATGTCTGTGTTGTAGATCAGACAGTATTCTCCAGTTCGTACACAGCAATAATGTCTGTGTTGTAGATCAGACAGTATTCTCCAGTTCTTACACAGCAATAATGTCTGTGTTGTAGATCAGACAGTATTCTCCAGTTCGTACACGGCAATAATGTCTGTGTTGTAGATCAGACAGTATTCTCCAGTTGGTATAAAGCAATAATGTCTGTGTTGTAGATCAGACAGTATTCTCCAGTTCGTACACAGCAATAATGTCTGTGATGTAGATCAGACAGTATTCTCCAGTTCGTACACGGCAATAATGTCTGTGTTGTAGATCAGACAGTATTCTCCAGTTCGTACACAGCAATAATGTCTGTGATGTAGATCAGACAGTATTCTCCAGTTCGTACACGGCAATAATGTCTGTGTTGTAGATCAGACAGTATTCTCCAGTTCGTACACAGCAATGTCTGTGTTGTAGATCAGACAGTATTCTCCGGTTCGTACACAGCAATAATGTCTGTGTTATAGATCAGACAGTATTCTCCGGTTTGTACACAGCAATAATGTCTGTGTTGTAGATCAGACAGTATTCTCCAGTTTGTACACAGCAATAATGTCTGTGTTGTAGATCAGACAGTTTTCTCTAGTTCGTACACAGCAATAATGTCTGTGATGTAGATCAGACATTATTCTCCAGTTCGTATACGGCAATGTCTGTGTTGTAGATCAGACAGTATTCTCCAGTTCATATACGGCAATGTCTGTGCTGTAGATCAGACAGTATTCTCCAGCCGTACACAGCAATAATGTATGTGTTGAAGATCAGACAGTATTCTCCAGTTCGTACACGGCAATGATGTCTGTGATGATCGTCTTGATTATGTCCAGAGTGACGTCTTCAGCAAACACCTGAAACATACCAGTAGGTTTCTAGTGAAGGAGGCAGACTGATGTAGATGGTGTCAAATGAACACGGCTACATTCTCTTAGTACATTGGAGCTGGCCGAAGGGATTGAATGTTGTTTTATGCTCAAGGGAGTGAACATTGTTTTATGCTCAAGGGATTGAACATTGTTTTATGCTCAAGGGAGTGAACATTATTTTATGCCCAAAGAAATGAATGGTCATGTACGCCCAATCGAGTGAATGCTGTTTTATGCCAAATAGCAAAAGAAATTGGCACTGATTTCCTGTTGGCCTTGCCACACTACCCAATATTTAAGGTATCATAAGGACTAGGAGAAATTAGTCATTTTTAAGGGTTGTGCTTAATGTTATCATTATAGGGAATAGTGGACTACAAATGTCAGTTTCTATTGCTGTCCAAGGGAGTGAATGTTGTTTTACACCCAATCGAGTGAATGTTGTTTATGCCCAAGGGAGTGAATGTTGTTTTATGCACAAGGGAGTGAATGTTGTTTACGCCCAAGGGAGTGAATGTTGTTTACGCCCAAGGGAGTGAATGTTGTTTTACGCCCAAGGGAGTGAATGTTGTTTTATGTACAATCGAGTGAATGTTGTTTTAAGCACAAGGGAGTGAATGTTGTTTTATGCACAAGGGAGTGAATGTTGTTTTATGCACAATCGAGTGAATGTTGTTTTAAGCACAAGGGAGTGAATGTTGTTTACGCCCAAGGGAGTGAATGTTGTTTTATGCACAAGGGAGTGAATGTTGTTTTATGCACAAGGGAGTGAATGTTGTTTTATGTACAAGGGAGTGAATGTTGTTTACGCCCAAGGGAGTGAATGTTGTTTTATGTACAAGGGAGTGAATGTTGTTTTATGCACAAGGGAGTGAATGTTGTTTTATGTACAAGGGAGTGAATGTTGTTTTATGCACAAGGGAGTGAATGTTGTTTTATGCACAAGGGAGTGAATGTTGTTTTATGCACAAGGGAGTGAATGTTGTTTTATGCACAATCGAGTGAATGTTGTTTTAAGCACAAGGGAGTGAATGTTGTTTTATACACAAGGGAGCGAATGTTGTTTTATGCACAAGGGAGCGAATGTTGTTTTATGCACAAGGGAGTGAATGTTGTTTTATGCACAAGGGAGTGAATGTTGTTTTATGCACAAGGGAGTGAATGTTGTTTTATGCACAATCGAGTGAATGTTGTTTTAAGCACAAGGGAGTGAATGTTGTTTACGCCCAAGGGAGTGAATGTTGTTTTATACACAAGGGAGCGAATGTTGTTTTATGCAACAAGGGAGCGAATGTTGTTTTATGCACAAGGGAGCGAATGTTGTTTTATGCACAAGGGAGTGAATGTTGTTTTATGCACAAGGGAGTGAATGTTGTTTTATGCACAAGGGAGTGAATGTTGTTTTATGCACAAGGGAGTGAATGTTGTTTAATGCACAATCGAGTGAATGTTGTTTTAAGCACAAGGGAGTGAATGTTGTTTTATACACAAGGGAGCGAATGTTGTTTTATGCACAATCGAGTGAATGTTGTTTTAAGCACAAGGGAGTGAATGTTGTTTTATACACAAGGGAGCGAATGTTGTTTTATGCACAAGGGAGCGAATGTTGTTTTATGCACAAGGGAGCGAATGTTGTTTTATGCACAAGGGAGTGAATGTTGTTTTATGCACAAGGGAGTGAATGTTGTTTTATGCACAAGGGAGTGAATGTTGTTTTATGCACAATCGAGTGAATGTTGTTTTAAGCACAAGGGAGTGAATGTTGTTTACGCCCAAGGGAGTAAATGTTGTTTTATACACAAGGGAGCGAATGTTGTTTTATGCAACAAGGGAGCGAATGTTGTTTTATGCACAAGGGAGCGAATGTTGTTTTATGCACAAGGGAGTGAATGTTGTTTTATGCACAAGGGAGCGAATGTTGTTTTATGCACAAGGGAGCGAATGTTGTTTTATGCACAAGGGAGTGAATGTTGTTTAATGCACAATCGAGTGAATGTTGTTTTAAGCACAAGGGAGTGAATGTTGTTTTATACACAAGGGAGCGAATGTTGTTTTATGCACAATCGAGTGAATGTTGTTTTAAGCACAAGGGAGTGAATGTTGTTTTATACACAAGGGAGCGAATGTTGTTTTATGCACAAGGGAGCGAATGTTGTTTTATGCACAAGGGAGCGAATGTTGTTTTATGCACAAGGGAGTGAATGTTGTTTTATGCACAAGGGAGTGAATGTTGTTTTATGCACAAGGGAGTGAATGTTGTTTTATGCACAATCGAGTGAATGTTGTTTTAAGCACAAGGGAGTGAATGTTGTTTACGCCCAAGGGAGTAAATGTTGTTTTATACACAAGGGAGCGAATGTTGTTTTATGCAACAAGGGAGCGAATGTTGTTTTATGCACAAGGGAGCGAATGTTGTTTTATGCACAAGGGAGTGAATGTTGTTTTATGCACAAGGGAGCGAATGTTGTTTTATGCACAAGGGAGCGAATGTTGTTTTATGCACAAGGGAGCGAATGTTGTTTTATGCACAAGGGAGTGAATGTTGTTTTATGCACAAGGGAGTGAATGTTGTTTTATGCACAAGGGAGCGAATGTTGTTTTATGCACAAGGGAGTGAATGTTGTTTTAAGCACAAGGGAGTGAATGTTGTTTTATGCACAAGGGAGTGAATGTTGTTTTATGCACAAGGGAGTGAATGTTGTTTTATGCACAATCGAGTGAATGTTGTTTTATGCACAAGGGAGCGAATGTTGTTTTATGCACAAGGGAGCAAATGTTGTTTTATGCACAAGGGAGTGAATGTTGTTTTATGCACAAGGGAGTGAATGTTGTTTTATGCACAAGGGAGCGAATGTTGTTTTATGCACAAGGGAGTGAATGTTGTTTTAAGCACAAGGGAGTGAATGTTGTTTTATGCACAAGAGAGCGAATGTTGTTTTATGCCCCAGTGGGGAACTTACCAGCCACCACGGCGTGTCAGCGTACTTGTATACGTCATCATGACAATGGTGGGTTTAAAACAGAACTTATCAGCCACCACGGCGTGTCAGCGTACTTGTATACGTCATCATGACAATGGTGGGTTTAAAACAGAACTTATCAGCCACCACGGCGTGTCAGCGTACTTGTATACGTCATCATGACAATGGTGGGTTTAAAACAGAACTTATCAGCCACCACGGCGTGTCAGCGTACTTGTATACGTCATCATGACAATGGTGGGTTTAAAACAGAACTTACCAGCCACCACGGCGTGTCAGCGTACTTGTATACGTCATCATGACAATGGTGGGTTTAAAACAGAACTTATCAGCCACCACGGCGTGTCAGCGTACTTGTATACGTCATCATGACAATGGTGGGTTTAAAACAGAACTTACCAGCCACCACGGCGTGTCAGCGTACTTGTATACATCATCATGACAATGGTGGGTTTAAAACAGAACTTACCAGCCACCACGGCGTGTCAGCGTACTTGTATACGTCATCATGACAATGGTGGGTTTAAAACAGAACTTACCAGCCACCACGGCGTGTCAGCGTACTTGTATACGTCATCATGACAATGGTGGGTTTAAAACAGAACTTATCAGCCACCACGGCGTGTCAGCGTACTTGTATACGTCATCATGACAATGGTGGGTTTAAAACAGAACTTACCAGCCACCACGGCGTGTCAGCGTACTTGTATACGTCATCATGACAATGGTGGGTTTAAAACAGAACTTATCAGCCACCACGGCGTGTCAGCGTACTTGTATACGTCATCATGAGAATGGTGGGTTTAAAACAGAACTTACCAGCCACCACGGCGTGTCAGCGTACTTGTATACATCATCATGACAATGGTGGGTTTAAAACAGAACTTACCAGCCACCACGGCGTGTCAGCGTACTTGTATACGTCATCATGACAATGGTGGGTTTCAAACAGAACTTACCAGCCACCACGGCGTGTCAGCGTACTTGTATACGTCATCATGACAATGGCGGGAGTACAACAGAACTTACCAGCCACCACGGCGTGTCAGCGTACTTGTATACGTCATCATGACAATGGTGGGTTTAAAACAGAACTTATCAGCCACCACGGCGTGTCAGCGTACTTGTATACGTCATCATGAGAATGGTGGGTTTAAAACAGAACTTACCAGCCACCACGGCGTGTCAGCGTACTTGTATACATCATCATGACAATGGTGGGTTTAAAACAGAACTTACCAGCCACCACGGCGTGTCAGCGTACTTGTATACGTCATCATGACAATGGTGGGTTTAAAACAGAACTTACCAGCCACCACGGCGTGTCAGCGTACTTGTATACGTCATCATGACAATGGTGGGTTTAAAACAGAACTTACCAGCCACCACGGCGTGTCAGCGTACTTGTATACATCATCATGACAATGGCGGGAGTACAACAGAACTTACCAGCCACCACGGCGTGTCAGCGTACTTGTATACGTCATCATGACAATGGTGGGTTTAAAACAGAACTTATCAGCCACCACGGCGTGTCAGCGTACTTGTATACGTCATCATGAGAATGGTGGGTTTAAAACAGAACTTACCAGCCACCACGGCGTGTCAGCGTACTTGTATACATCATCATGACAATGGTGGGTTTAAAACAGAACTTACCAGCCACCACGGCGTGTCAGCGTACTTGTATACGTCATCATGACAATGGTGGGTTTAAAACAGAACTTACCAGCCACCACGGCGTGTCAGCGTACTTGTATACGTCATCATGACAATGGCGGGAGTACAACAGAACTTACCAGCCACCACGGCGTGTCAGCGTACTTGTATATGTCATCATGACAATGGCGGGAGTACAACAGAACTTACCAGCCACCACGGCGTGTCGGCGTACTTGTGATACGGCACCTCGGCACCATGACATTGGAGCGCAAAAAAGAGAACAGCCACTGCCATGTGTTGTGGCTTGTATTTCAAACACATGTTGCCATGGTAACAGTCCCGAAGCAGTGACCAGGCTGTTCTAGCTACTGGCATTGCCTCCCACTTGTAGGGATCAAACCAGTCTTGCAGATACTTGAGGTTGTGCAGCATGTACTGAAAATAAAAGAAAGATTCTATTCACGCACAACATAAGTGTTTTCCTGTTGAGCCACATGGCAGATTGTGTTCGTAACAATACTTCAGGAGCCAACAAAGTCTTACAACTAGTCGAAATAAATTCCTCTACATTCAACTTAGGTGTCCCAAATGTGATGTAACGTTATAGATAAGTCACACACCAAGAGCAAAGGTTGCTGGGGACCTATTTTCTATCCTGGAATCCCCTCAGGGAGACAAGCACAGGTTGCTGGGGACCTTTATTCTATCCTGGAATCCCCTCAGGGAGACAAGCACAGGTTGCTGGGGACCTATATTCTATCCTGGAATCCCCACAGGGAGACAAGCACAGGTTGCTGGGGACCTATATTCTATCCTGAAATCCCCACAGGGAGACAAGCACAGGTTGCTGGGGACCTATAGGGTCCCCGCAATCCCAACAGGTTATATCTCCAGGGGTTACAGAAACGTATATCTACCTTGTGGGGGTGAGAGAAGACGACCTTGAACTTGAGTGTCCGAAGCACGAAGAGTTCACAATGGGCGACCGACTCCCGCAGTGCCCAGAAGGTGTCCCCCAGCTCGAGGGGGGGCTTGCTTTTGTGGAGGGTCCTGGAAGCAGAGTGAGGGGGTGAGTCGGTAGAGTGGATGCATGTGGCAAAGTGGGTGGGTGTGTGGTAGAGTGGATGGGTGTGTGGCAGAGTGGGTGGGTAGGTGGCAGAGTGGATGGGTGTGTGGCAAAGTCGGTGGGTGGGTGTTAGAGTGGATGCGTGTGTGGCAGAGTGGGTGGGTTGGTGGTAGAGTGGATGCGTGTGTGGCAAAGTGGGTGGGTTGGTGGTAGAGTGGATGCGTGTGTGGCAAAGTGGGTGGGTATGTGGTAGAGTGGATGCGTGTGTGGCAGAGTGGGTGGGTTGGTGGTAGAGTGGATGCGTGTGTGGCAGAGTGGGTGGGTGGGTGGTAGAGTGGATGTATGTGTGGCAAAGTGGGTGGGTGGGTGGGTGGTAGAGTGGATGTGTGTGTAGCAAAGTGGCAGGGTGTGGCAAATTGGGTTGGTGGTAGAGTGGATGCGTGTGTGGCAGAGTGAGTGGGTGGGTGGTAGAGTGGATGCGTGTGTGGCAAAGTGGGTGGGTGGGTGGTAGAGTGGATGCGTGTGTAGCAAAGTGGGTGAGTGTGTGGCAGAGTGGGTGGGTTGGTGGTAGAGTGGATGCGTGTGTGGCAAAGTGGGTGGGTGGGTGGTAGAGTGGATGCGTGTGTGGCAAAGTGGGTGGGTGGGTGGTAGAGTGGATGCGTGTGTAGCAAAGTGGGTGGGTTGGTGGTAGAGTGGATGCATGTGTGGCATAGTTCAGAGTGGATGGGTAGTTGAATGAATGATGACCGGTTTCTGAACTCTGTGGCAGGTGCATGCACGCGTGTGTGCGTGCATGTTCAGACAGACAAGATGATGACTGCACCTTGGAAACTAAAGAGTTATCACAAACATAAAGTCTTAACCACTGGGTCAAAGGGAGACAACTCATATAATAGAATACTTCAGCCAGCACATGAAGAGTACTAAAAGAAATCGTTATCAATCCCCACCATTTCAGGATTAGAGAGTCCTGTACACTCATGACATTCCATTCCTCAGAAACACCTCCCTTTGACGGTGGGAAAGATGTTCTGACAGGTATCAATGGCTGTGCCCTGCCGTCAAACTCAGTGACTGTTCTGACAGGTATCAATGGATGTACTCTTCTCCAAACAAACAAAGATCAGAACAGGACTGTACAGTTAAGTATTGAATAATGATATTCCACATGATCAATTTCCATCAGTGATTCAATATTATAAAGGCATTACTGAGTGGCACACACAACAAGAACCAGGTTCTGTTCATATATAATACAAATCATTAAATGTCTGATGGTACAAATGTATTTATCTCTGTAGTATGAGTTGATGACTACACCTGTCTACCTGTAGCATGAGTTGATGACTACACCTGTCTACCTGTAGCATGAGTTGATGACTACACCTGTCTACCTGTAGCATGAGTTGATGACTACACCAGTCTACCTGTAGCATGAGTTGATGATTACACCTGTCTACCTGTAGCATGAGTTGATGACTACACCTGACTACACCTGTCTACCTGTAGCATGAGTTGATGACTACACCTGTCTACCTGTAGCATGAGTTGATGACTACACCTGTCTACCTGTAGCATGAGTTGATGACTACACCTGCCTACCTGTAGCATGAGTTGATGACTACACCTGTCTACCTGTAGCATGAGTTGATGACTACACCTGTCTACCTGTAGCATGAGTTGATGACTACACCTGTCTACCTGTAGCATGAGTTGATGACTACACCTGTCTACCTGTAGCATGAGTTGATGACTACACCTGTCTACCTGTAGCATGAGTTGATGACTACACCTGTCTACCTGTAGCATGAGTTGATGACTACACTTGTCTACCTGTAGCATGAGTTGATGACTACACCTGTTTACCTGTAGCATGAGTTAATGACTACACCTGACTACCTGTAGCATGAGTGAATGACTACACCTGACTACCTGTAGCATGAGTTGATGATTACACCTGTCTACCTGTAGCATGAGTTGATGACTACACCTGCCTACCTGTAGCATGAGTTAATGACTACACCTGACTACCTGTAGCATGAGTTGATGACTACACCTGTCTACCTGTAGCATGAGTTGATGACTACACCTGTCTACCTGTAGCATGAGTTGATGACTACACCTGTCTACCTGTAGCATGAGTTGATGACTACAACTGACTACCTGTAGCATGAGTTGATGACTACACCTGTCTACCTGTAGCATGAGTTGATGACTACACCTGTCTACCTGTAGCATGAGTTGATGATTACACCTGTCTACCTGTAGCATGAGTTGATGACTACACCTGTCTACCTGTAGCATGAGTTGATGACTACACCTGTCTACCTGTAGCATGAGTTGATGACTACACCTGTCTACCTGTAGCATGAGTTGATGACTACACCTGTCTACCTGTCGCATGAGTTGATGACTACACCTGTCTACCTGTAGCATGAGTTGATGACTACACCTGACTACACCTGTCTACCTGTAGCATGAGTTGATGACTACACCTGACTACCTGTAGCATGAGTTGATGACTACACCTGTCTACCTGTAGCATGAGTTGATGACTACACCTGTCTACCTGTAGCATGAGTTGATGACATCCCTCAGTTTCAGGTGTTCTTCCTCCACTTTGCCGGCCAGGTAAATACAGGTGGTGCCAATCAGCTGGGAAAAACAAATATTGAATAAGAAGTGAGTGAGTGAGTATGGTTTTACACCACTCTTAGCAATATTCCAGCAATATCATGGCAGGGGACACCAGAAATGGGCTTCACACATTGTACCCAAGTGGGGAATCGGACCCAGGTCTTTGGCGTGACGAGCGAATGCTTTAACCACTTGACTACCCCACTGCGCCAAAATATTGAAGAAAAACATTACAACCCAATGCACAGCCGCCACTGATATATGATCTCAGGAATGGTAGGCCGACTACAATGGGAAAAGTGGATTGAAGGTGAAGTCGAATTGAAAATTGTTAACATATCCCGGGATAGTATTTACACTGTCAGGTAGTTTTTCTCAGGGTCATAAATAAGGGCGTGAGGTATTACATTTCAGTTCATTCTTATCGTATCACAATATCACTTTTTCATGTTCGATATATTGGGTGATTTCAAATTGGGATTTTTATCATGTGTTTAAAGTTATATACTTGCCAAAAGCCTTCACTGCCCAGGAGCGAGCATCCGGGGCCCCAAGATGGCTGCGTATTTTTTTAATGAGTAAAACATTCTGTTGTACCAGCATTTTGTTTTGTTCCATGTATGAACTTCAGTTAATACCTTAATGTATCAGATTGCTTCTGAATTAAAAATTTAGAATTATACAGTATATTGTGATATGTATTGCAATACGGCTTGGTGCTTTGCAAAATATTGTGATACACTTTAAACCTCCAATACCCATCCAAACTCATAAAACATTGACAGAACAAACAGCATATATCTTGAATATTTATCCTTTCCCTTCGGTGGATCAACATTATCAACTATTCAAATCGCTAATATCACCAATATTTGAACTACAGCTGTCAGGCTTAAGGTTTCATGGAGGCAACGTCGGTTGAAAGAGAGCATCTAAAGTCTATTATTTGTATTAGGTGAAGAATTCAACACTTAGTATGTTTGTGTATGGTGAAATTGGAATAGAACCACTGTTAGGCTAATACAGATCGTGAAACATGGATCAAAAGTTCCTAACTGTAATGATAATAAGTACATGTATGCCACATGATGCCACACCAGATTCAGCAGTGGAATGGTCTGATTTATACGGAAGCCTTTTAGGGCCATTTAAAAAAAAATAAATTCAATACTATCTTGAAATTTCAAGATACTAAGTTGAAATTTCAAGATACAGAAGTTGATACTATCTTGAAATTTCAACTTAATATCTCGAAATTTCAACTTCTGTATCTTGAAGTTTCAAGATTGTATCTTGAAATTTCAACTTAGTTTCTTGAAATTTCAACTTAGTTTCTTGAAATTTCAAGATAGTATCTAGAAATTTCAACTTCTGTATCTTGATATTTCAAGATACTATAAAAAACAAAACAAAAACAAATGGCCCTAAAAGGCTTCCGTAGAATTAAGATTCTTCATAATGAATACACAATGACATTTAAGAAAGTGGTCAAATGTAACAAATGTTACACAATGTTACATTTGGGATAACACATTCTTTATGTACTTTTTCGTGTTCTAGTACTTTTTGGGTTGAGTCACATCTGGGATTCAAACTCACACTCTCAGAGTCAGTTTTGAACTCTAATGGGGGCAATACAAGATATTGAGAACAGATGACCTTCACCTTGGAAATCTACTGTTCCGTGTGTTCCAACTAGAACAGTGAGTGAGTGAGTGAGTTTGGTTTTACGCCGCTTTTAGCAATATTCCAGCAATATCACGGCGGGGGACACCAGAAAGGGGCTTCACACATTGTACCCATGTCGGGAATCGAACCCGGGTCTTCGGCGTGACGAGTGAACGCTTTAACCACTAGGCTACCCGACCGCCCCCCCAACTAGAACAGACCCGTGAAGATCCGGAGTAGAATAGGTCTTCAGCAACCCATGCTTGCTGTAAAAGGTGACTGTGCTTGTCGTAAAAGGCGACTAACGGGATCGGGTGGTCAGGCTCGCTGACTTGGTTGATGCATGTCATTGATCCCAATTGCGTGGATCGATACTCGTGATATTAATCACTGGATTGTCTGGTCCAGACTCGATTATTTACAGACCGCCGTCATATGTGTGGAATATTGCTGAGTGCAGCGTTAAACAACAAACAAACAAACAAACAAATCCACCTAGAACCTGGGTCAATGAGAATGACGTGTGCAAATTGTTGCTTATTTATATGATATATAAAATATACATTTTTAAATCACTCTTGCGTTTCTTTTTTGGCAAAGTATAGTTTCAAAGAAATTGAGAAGCAGACATGTACTAAGGGAGACAACTCTTCATTATTGTAGCCTATACATACAACTTACATAAGGATCATAGTCGTTGAGTGAGTTCTCCTTGAAGAACTTGTGATACAACACACAAGCAGTTGCCAGGGGAACGCTCTTGATGTGCAGCTTCACTCCTGCCAAGACAAACAGAATACAAATATATATATTGTAAATTTGTAACTTTGGACTCCGCTAGGCCTGAAATCTAATTGGGTATAGCCAGCAGCTTGGTACATATCTTTAGATGTGGGAAAACCTGTGTTGTATATATAATACCGGTATGGATTCGATGTATGTCACGAGTATGGCTGTTGGCGTGTTAAGTAACCTTGATTTAATGTGACTACCATGATTTTAACATTGTAAGATATTTTCATTTCAATTTTAGACCACACACACTCACCCATCCCCCATCAATCCGTGCTGGTATAAAGATAGACATCGATTGATCTTTGTAACCAATTAGTGCTAATAAATCAGAATTGTCTACAGTCACTCAGCTCTCAAAACAACATGCAACTGAAGTAAATTATTTCATAATGTATGCCAACAGTCAGTCCAGGCATAACAAAACACTCAGCCATGTGTATAGTGTCCTATAACATGTTCACAAGTGACACAGATTCACAGAGTCTATGACATGTCGCTTCATCTTTGTAGTGCTATTTCAAGAATGCAACAGGATATTGTGATTTGGAGAAAATATACTAACAAACGAACCAATTTCGAACACTGCACTAAAATATGTGCCTGCTCTCTTTTGCTCAATAGAATTTATACAGACCTTGGGTTGGGCCTAAAACTGACGCCCAAGCAATAGGCAAGATTAATATTACATTAATTATGAACAGTATTTTTCCAATTAGTTGGAATTTTTTTACGTACTTGTTTGAAAGTAACCTAACTAACCTGATTTTTTCTAATTACCGTTATGCTAATGAATGATGTACATGTGGTGTGTGGAACTAAAGTCACAAGCAATTCAACAAGGTTGTTCTTTTGCAAATTCAACAAGGTTGTTTTAATGCAAAAACTTTTTGTATCATGAACATTTCTTCAGACTGGTCTGGAGTCCATTTTGTTTCAAGTCATAGTCTTGATCTGACAGTATTTAATGCCACATGTAAGCTGTAACATTGCTCATTTGCTTTTCAAGTCCCATCATAATTTCTGTGCAGCATACATTTAAGAAAGAAAAACACAATAACAACAACAGATCCATATGTCTTAATATCCACAGACAATATGCACGTAACACTTTGACAAAGGAGATCCAGAGTTCCTAATGACAGAATAGTGTTCAAATAAACATTTCCTTTGTTTTAAGTCTTGTCTTGAAAATGGTTTATAATGTTCGAGAACAGATGGTTTTATCTGGTAAGGTTTTATCTGGTAAGAGTTTAAGAACGAACAGTAGGGCCTACCTAGAGTCTGCATCTGTGAGTGAGTGAGTGAGTATGGTTTTACGCCGCTTTTAGCAATATTCCAGCAATATCACGGCGGGGGACACCAGAAATGGGCTTCACACATTGTACCCATGTCAGGAATCGAACTCGGGTCTTCGGCGTGACGAGTGAACGCTTTAACCACTAGACTACCCGATCGCCCCCTTTCCATCTTTGAGGTTGTAGGAGATGTCTTTGGTGAGACGACTGTACAGTTTATTTACCTATGTAAACGGCTTTATAAGTATGCATTGCCGCTCAATCCTTTTGATTATATATATTTGTGTGTGTGTGTGTGTGTGTGTGTGTGTGTGTGTGGTGGGGGGTATACGGGCGGTAGCCTTAGTCAGGAATTTGTCTACCCATTGGTCATCTAATAACCCAAGTTCGATTTTCTTTTGCGAGCATGAGATGTTTGTCGTCTGGTTGCTGTAGCCTACAAGACGATAGTCTGCTTTGAAATGCATGAAGTATCATCTGAGTTAGCCTGCCGTGAACGTTACATCAGTCGTGATGCATTACCTGATTCAGTCATAAATCGCACAACGCGAAAATGAACACGTTTTTCTACTTCTGTCATGTCTTCAACTTTCACGCGTGGACTTTTTAACAATATTCCTACTTTTCAGAATAACTCCAGGATAACACGCGAGTATGGGAGAAATCGTTATTTTGAAACTGAAACTGTATGGATCTATGTCCCCAGATCTCATAAACAAGAATTTATCTTTGATAGACAGCTGTAACCACTCTGGCATACAGTGGTTGAGAAATTAGGGACTTTGAAGTTTTGAACATATCCCGGACAATGAATATTTTGTGAAATAATTTACAAAACACTCGTCCGTACAGGAAGCGGATATTAGTTCCGTCGTCATGCGCAATTGTGACACTTAGCGCCATAATTTGAAAGTCGTTGCTACATGATCAGGCCTGAATTCCATTGGTATTTGGTGCACGAAAGAGGAAATAGCAGATAGTAAAAATGACAACACTCGTAAGTACGGTTAGGGAAAGTTGATAACTAAATCTGTTGACAATGCATTCAAAGTTTGAAACTGAAACAATATTCACTCGGCTTCCTTTTCACAAAATATTTGACAGCTGAGCCCCTAAATGCCATATATTTTCTATTATTCGAGATTATTTATCATGTTCTCTTTTGTAACAAGCTTCAATGATGGCAAGTAAATGTTTGTACAAAAAACTAGAGAGAAAAGAATTTAAATAAAATGTCAACAAAGCTGAATCGTTCATTCTTGGGAATGTTTACAAACATGTCGTGACATGCACACATGACATTCGACTCTTTGAGATCAGCTGTAATTTGACATTATGGAAAAATAGTAAATCATATTATTTAAGCATCTGCATTTGACATTTATGTATCTTAGCCTGTACCAAGCATGTTTGATTCTATATTTTTAGCTGGTGCTGTAATATACTCATATGTTATTCACATTTGGGTATGGAATATATTTTGATCCCTTGGGTATTTATAAACCAGTGAGTTGACAATCTTTTTAAAATATTTCAGCTAAAGAATTCAGTTTAAAGTTGTTCGATTAATTTCCATCTGTTCATCAGGTCTGGAGGTAACACCAGATTTCATCGTGTAGGAGAGATTTAATTTGGCCTACCTTTGGAATACAGTATCACAAACTTTTCAAACACATCACAATAACGTATGACACAGTTTGTAGTATTTTGTTGCCAGCTAAAAATGTTATGAATTTAATGTTATGAAATGATTATTATTTGAATGATATGAAGTGATTACTGCTAATACAAGTAAAGGCTGCAATTACGTGCATTGTGTTTTGTTTGATCCAAGATGGCGGATGTTTCCAATCAGAAATGTATATCATGAAAAACATTTATGACAGAACTGATTTTTCCGGTCCCTTGTAGTTCGTTATATTCATGTTCTACTGTGATTAATCAATCAACATGATCAACTCATCATTGATTAATCCTTTGATCGATGTTTTTCGCAACTCAGCGGTCCATCCCTCTTTTGCTACTCTGCCACGTGCATATCACATATCAACATGGAATACATTCACCACATCAGACCTAGATTTATGACCCAATCTTATGTAAAATAATTACCCCAGACACCATGGACACAATGCAAACCACCGATTGCTATATATCCTTGACTCCCTCAGAGGGAGAGTTAAACATTATTGCATAGTCTTTGTCAGGTAATCTGAGTGGTTCTACCACTAATTCTACCTGTAATAAAGGTGTAGGGTTATTCCATGAAACATGGATAACAAGAAGGGAGTAGTAATTGCTGTATTATGTGCAATTTGCCTGAAAAATCGTTGCATTCCATTCACACTCTGGCTTGGATTCCATGAAATCTTGAAATTGACAGGTCACACCATGTAGATACTGAGATAGGCCCTACCTCCAGTAAACATGGTAAAAATGTCCGGCTTGTCTGCAGGCTAAAACGCGGCTGTTCAGTCATATTCAGTTCCATTGGGAATCATATTGTACCAGCAGGCTCAATCATTCCCAGTAATCTACAGGTTAATGTTGAACCACATCATAGATCAGGGTTGTTATCTTGCTTAATTTAACTCGCAACAGAGAATGTAAACACAAGATTGACAGCTGCGAGGTGTGAGTAACCGTGATATAGGTCAAGTTCTCCATCATCCAAGTTCGGGGTGGAGAGGCATTTATTTTGATGTTATTATTGTTTACTGGGGGTAATTGCTAACTAACTAATACCACTTACACATGTTACATGTATAATAGAATGTTAATTCAAAAGGTTTGTTATAGAAATATATTTGTTTAGCATTTTGAAACTGAAGCGTTCAGTTCAAAATAAAGATAAAGAGGTATCTACCCTACAGTGGGACTACATCAAATTTCAAAACACAGTCGGTTTATCTTGTAAGAGTATCCCAGATGTGTGGATCACCGGATTGTCTGGTCCAGATTTGATTCTTTTCAGGCTGCTGTCATGTAGCTGGAATATTGCTGAGTCTTGTGTTAAACAAAAAGAGAACAAAAACAAATGTCTCTTACAACATATCATAGATTAGTATTAAACTTGTTGATATGTTCCCAGGAAGATCCATCCTTGGAGAGGCACTTCCGGGGTCACCGCGACACGATCACCGCGGTGGACTTCAGCCCCAACATGACACAGCTGGGTGAGAACCATTTCTTCTTCTCATTATGAAATGGATGTTATTGTGTTGGGTTTAATGAATAGGGTTGTACATGTCTCTCTTGGATGGGCGGTGACATGGGTCTCCTAGAACTTTGTCTAAGGTGCCGCAGCTTGCTGTGCAGAGTTCCGCCCCTTGGCCATGGCAGGAGAACCGAATATCATGTGTTTGAATTCCAGATCGCCCCTAACATGTGCCTAGGTTTATCAGCACCATACATGCTCGTTTGTTTCACCAAAGTGGTTAACATCTGGGCCCTGCATCACTTGGGCTTTCCTCCGCGCAGGCTTCCGTGGTTTTCAAGCTCAGGGGACGTTCAGTAATAATTTGGGGGTGTCCCCCAATGGCAATGTAACTTTCATTTCCAGACATTTGACTGATTTCACAACCCTGAACATGCTCAGCAGCCTGTAGGCTATATGGACATATTGAAGACAATCCATCACTGACACTGCAGGCTGTATGTTATATTGAAGACAGAACTCAAAAACCACGAGAGCTATCTTTACCAAACATGACACATAGATAGGTCTTGTGGTGAACTGATGCCTTTTGATAGTTTGGGATATTTGAAAAATTTATTTTTTGAGTTTGCATGGCATTGACTTTGATTTAAACAGGAAATGGCGGTAGTGTTCCTTTCCGGAGCAGATCTTGAAAACCATACAATATTTCTTCACCAAACTTGGCACATAGATAGGTCTAGTGGTAAACTGGTGCCTTTTGACAGTATATGATTTAAAAGAAATATTATGAAGTTTCCATAGCAACCACTTTGACTGTCTTTATGATATCTGGCAAAACCTCCCATATTGCTGACTCAGCTGCAAGTGTTGTTACTATTGACATACTCCCTCCAATATCGAATGACTTAGGATAAAGTCTCAGTATCTCATGACATGATGGAGATGCTTTGCATCCAGAAATTAACATATTGTTCTGATCATGGTAAACGCAACTTGTGAATTGTTTCAGCCTCTGGGTCAATGGATTCTTGTCTGATGGTGTGGAACTTTAAGCCAAAGATGAGGGCTTACAGATTTGTAGGCCACAAGGTGTGTATATGATGCAGGACAAGGAACTAACAACATGAACAAACTCATCATCTCACTTGCTTCTTTTTTTTCCCCCATTTGAAAAATGTTTTTTTTATAGCGATCAGCATGTCCGTCCGTCTGTTTTCTGTTTCCGGAGCAGAACTCCAAAACCGTTGAATATTTCTGGATGAAGCTTACAATGCAGATCAGGCTAGTGGTGAACTGGTGCCTTTTGATAATTTGGGATTTTAGTTTTTTAAATTTTGTTTTATTAATATGACCAGTTGGACTTCACTGAAAATGAGGGAAGTGCTTGATTCCGGGGCAGAACTCCAAAACCGTTAAATATTTCTAGATACAACAATTTAACCAAAATCTATCGTCTAACTTTGAAAATGATCATACATGAGGAAGGTAACCATTACTGTAATCTGATTAGCTGACTTAGGTCACATGCTTGAATTTGACCAATCATGATCTTTATGGCAGATTACGGCAAAAACGAGAGTGATTAGAAACCAATTTCTATCCAATAAAAACACATGTTGCAACAGACATCTTCTTCCAAGCTCAGCGGGGGCACAGGTGGCCCAGTCGTCTAAGGCGCCACGATTCACTGTGCAGAGTTGCGTCCCTTGGGCACGCCAGAAACCTATGATTGTGGGTTCGAATCCCGGTGGGCCCTGATTATGTTTCTAGGTTTGTCAGCACCAATCCCGTGCTTGTGGGTTTCACTGAAGTGGTAAACGTCTGAGACCCGCATCACTTCGGGCTTTCCTCCCACATTAAGCTGACACGCCGTGATATAACTGTAATACTGTTAAAAGCGGCGTTAAACCCAACTTACTCACTCACTCCAAGCTCCGCAATGTCTGAACAACAAACATCTTCTTCCTAGCTCTGCCCTTGTCTGTGCAGAGTTATGTCCCTTGGGCACGCCAGAAAACCCAACTCACTCACTCACTATCTCCGCCCATGTCTGTGGCCCAGTAGTAAAGTGTAAAACCCCCATGTGATGGCTGTCACTGTAGATAAATGCTTCATGGGATTTCTAAGAATATTACATATCACAATCTAACTGATGTCAACCTGTTTGATATAGTTGTAGCAAATATGAAGAAACAGTTACTTAAGTTTTAGTTTCTAAATATTCCTCCGTATGGCAATTAACATCAATTAACATGCAGTGGTGCAGTTGTCACAGTGCAATAGTGAGCCATGCTCTGCTCAACTCCTGTCTTGATATTAAGGGATGAGTTCGTCAGGTAACCATGACAACATGGTCTGCTACATGTGATGTTTGTGCTGCAGGATGCAGTCATGTCTGTCCAGTTCTCCCCGTCCGGTCACCTCGTGGCATCAGCGTCCAGGGACAAGACAGTGCGACTCTGGATACCAAGTGTGTAAGTCCATGGAGATAGTTGCTGCCATGATATTTGTGTAGTATCAGTACGTATACCGACATCAGTACATAAACCATCAGTACGTATACCGACATCAGTACATATACCGACAGCAGTACATATACCATCAGTTCATATACCGACATCAGTTCATATACCATCACTACATATACTGACAGCAGTACATATACCGACATCAGTACATATACCAACATCTGTACATATACCGACAGCAGTACGTATATCAACATCAGTTCATATACCGACAGCAGTTCATATACCGACAGCAGTTCATATACCGACAGCAGTACATATACCGACATCTGTACATATACCGACATCAGTACATATACCGACAGCAGTACATATACCGACAGCAGTTCATATACCGACAGCAGTTCATATACCGACAGCAGTACGTATATCAACATCAGTTCGATATACCGACAGCAGTACATATACCGACTACCAACATCAGAACATATACTGACATCAGTTCATATACCGACATCAGTTCATATACCATCACTACATATACCGACAGCAGTACATATACCGACATCTGTACATATACCGACAGCAGTACGTATATCGACATCAGTTCATATACCGACAGCAGTACATATACCGACATCTGAACATATACCGACAGCAGTTCATATACCGACAGCAGTACATATACTGACAGCAGTACATATACCAACAGCAGTACATATACCAACAGCAGTTCATATACCAACAGCAGTTCATATACCGACAGCAGTTCATATACAGACATCAGTACATATACCAACAGCAGTACATATACAGACAGCAGTTCATATACCAACAGCAGTTCATATACCGACAGCAGTTCATATACCGACAGCAGTTCATATACAGACATCAGTACATATACCGACATCAGTTCATATACCGACAGCAGTACGTATACCGACATCAGTACATATACAGACATCAGTACATATACCGACTACCAACATCAGAACATATACTGACATCAGTTCATATACCGACATCAGTTCATATGCCGATCTGTACGTATACCGACAGCAGTACATAAACTGACATCAGTACATATACCGACTACCAACATCAGAACATATATAGTTATACTACTGTGACAGCAGAATGTTAGGTGTAGACTCTTTTCCCATCAGCCTTCTAAGTTTGTATTTTTCTAGGGAGCCAAGCGGCTCTTAACATGAATATTTAAGGAGTCAGACCTAAGTTTTTATGAGCCAACAGATATCTTAAACAGATATTGTCACCAGTTATGTTTCTTTTAGGTAGCCAAGTGGCGAGCATTTCATACATTTAGATCACCAATCATAGATTTAAATCACATTTGGCCACCAAAATAGTCGCTACTTAATGCTCCTTATTATGTCTTCATCATGACTGAAATGAAGTTTTGTTTCCAGGAAAGGAGAATCGACTGTATTCAAAGCTCACACAGCAACGGTCCGTAGTGTGGACTTCTCTAGCGATGGGCAGACTCTGTGTACAGCATCTGATGACAAGACCATCAAGGTGACAAGACACACACACACACAAACCACACGCACACACACACACCACACCACACACACCAGACGCGCGCACGCACACACACACACAGCATCTGATGACAAGACCATCAAGGTGACAAGACACACACACACACAAACCACACGCACACACACACACCACACCACACACACCAGACGCGCGCACGCACACACACACAGCATCTGATGACAAGACCATCAAGGTGACAAGACACACACACACACAAACCACACGCACACACACACACCACACCACACCACACACACCAGACGCGCGCACGCACACACACACACAGCATCTGATGACAAGACCATCAAGGTGACAAGACACACACACACACAAACCACACGCACACACACACACCACACCACACACACCAGACGCGCGCACGCACACACACACACAGCATCTGATGACAAGACCATCAAGGTGACAAGACACACACACACACAAACCACACGCACACACACACACCACACCACACACACCAGACGCGCGCACGCACACACACACACAGCATCTGATGACAAGACCATCAAGGTGACAAGACACATGCACACACGCACACACACACACCACACACACCACACACACACACACACACACACACCACACCACACCACACCACACACACACACACACACACACACGCATACTAAACATTTACTACAAATGTTTCAAAGATGCTTTGCTAAAAGATGAAGGGCACTGACTGTACTTAATCCTGTGATAAAGTACACTTTTTTAGTTACCCAAGCGTCCTGATGCTTTAACTATATTAGTTAAGGGCAAAACTATACTTTATTACACTACACATGGTGTAGAGAAAACTTTATTTCTTAAATAGCACTCACAACACATAACACACATAACAAGAACACACAATACATACACACTCACTACACACACAACACTCACAGACACCCTACATACACATTCATTACGCACACACAATACACTTACAGACAACACACTACACATGTATAACACTCACAACACACATAATATACTACACACATATACACACACATCACTCTAACACATACACACACTACTCAAACACAACAAACTCACAAACACAACAAACTCACAAACACAACACACAATACAACACACACAATGCATACACACTCAATACATGCAACACACACACCACACACAGACACACACAAGAGGGAGCACGGGTAGCCTAGTGGTTAAAGCGTTCGCTCGTCACGCCGAAGACCCGGGTTCGATTCCCAACATGCATACAATGTGTGAAGCCCATTTCTGGTGTCCCCCACCGTGATATTGCTGGAATATTGCTAATAGTGGCGTAAAACCAGACTCACTCACTCACTCGTGTACAAAAGAAATGTTAAGATACTACTAAAACCAGTATCTCACACGAAACTGGAAGTACTATCTCATGGAAAGGGAGATAATTCAGTTGTCAAACAAAAGTGAAGATCACTAGAAAAAATAACTGCACATGTTTAGAGATCACAGTGTTGTCAAAATCTTGAAGTTACTTTCTGTTGTGACACAAGTTGCTTAAATACCCAAGAAATTGTTTTTATCAGAAGTGTATCATGTTTATAGCATTGTTTATTATGACCTCTGTGACACTCCTGTGACATTTCTGTTCTGATTACAGCTGTGGACGGTTCACCGCCAGAAGTTCATCTTCTCCCTAACACAACACATGAACTGGGTCCGCTGTGCCAGGTACGTCCAACGCCCACAGAGGCCAATATAGCTGCACAGTTATTTACACGATAAGTAGAGGATATTAAGGCCAGACACGGCACCTAAAATTGACATAACTGCTTCAATATGTCAAAATCAAGATTTTGATTTTTTTCGCATATATAATACATGTACTTTGTGATGCAACATGTTTTTTACGATATTGTGTACATTTACTGAATAAAAAACGTTATTAAAATCATAATGTGTGGTATTGTTTTTAAATATGATCGTAATCAACGTGGAAAAACCTGAACTTTCACTCATGACAACGCCCCCGTAGCTGTAACGAACCCCTTCATGTTATACATCGATAGAAAGCTGATCGTTTCCGCCATGTTTCTGTGCAAAAACATTCTAAAAATAGATATTCCACGTGAGGCTATCGTCACTTTTCCCGCGAGTGATTTTGTACGTAAACTACCATTTAAGGAGAAATATCCCATAATGCAACATTCGGGAATATTCGTTCGATCCAAATAAAGTAAAACGTATCCCACAATGCACCATTCGGCTTAGCAACAAAACTTCGGCCTTTTCCGGTAGGTATACAAAATGGCGGCTGCTCAGCGAAAAGTTTGACAGGTAAACATCGTTTTTGATATTTTCTTGACTGAAAATTGTTGTATTTTTTAAAAATGAGGGCAAAACACGGGGCACAACACGCCTATGGTAAGAATAAGAGGCGAAGGGCAAGTCAGTTGAAGGAGGCACGTTCGAAATGCGGTGTTAGAGTTACGACCCGTGTTGACAGCGCGATCGACCCTGTGTCAGATTCTGACAGCTTTGACGTTTTGGATACATCGGAATCATCCGGGGACCACGCCGTTGAGGAAAAAATCCCCGTTGGAGACAATGAAGGTGAGAATTCTTTTTCATTGAATGCAACTTCATGCAGCGACATAAAATTATCAAAATTTAAAGCTGCTGAAAATATCAAATCTCCCGTGCTTGACAATGAACCCAAACCTCAATGGATGTTAATTGACATGAGACAAATGAATTTATTTTTTCAAGAGATTGATTGCCCATCATGTCACGAACAGGGGTCTTTGTTGTTTGAAAAGAGTGACAATTTTGATAGATTTGGATTTGCTGTAAATATTATGTTGACATGCCAAAACTGTCAGATGTGTGTTGACAAAAATTACACTTCACAAAGGTCAGGTAATAAATCGGGTACCAATCCCTTTCAGGTGAATGACATTTTTATGCTCTTTCTGTCAGAGGTAGGACTTGGACATGCTGCTATGAAAAAGTTTTGTCTGGTTTTTGGAATGGAAGGTCTCCATCCAAAGACATTTCAACACAAACAAAACATTCTTTCACAGGTTGTTGTTGAAAATACTGAGGAAGTTTTGACTCAGAGTGTTGAAATTATCAAACATGCTTATGGTGAGCAACAGACAGTTTCAAATGATGTACCTTTAGACATTACTGTCAGTTATGACGGATCATGGCAGAAGAGAGGCCACACTTCAAATTATGGTGTTGGGGCGGTTATTGATGTTTTGACAGGTCTAGTGATTGATTATGAAGTCCTGTCAAAATACTGCCATGCATGTACCCTTCATATCAACAGTCTAGGACAGGACACCACAGAGTTCAGACAGTGGTATGAAGGACATGCTGGTAGGTGTTGCCAAAATTATGAAGGTAGTTCCAATGCCATGGAAGTTGAAGCCGCTAAGAGGCTATGGTCCCGTTCTTTGGAAAAGCATAATATACGTTACACATGTATACTTTCAGATGGTGACAGCAAAACCCACAAGGCAATCAACGACCTTCAACCCTATGGACCAGACATCAGTATTGACAAGGAAGACTGTGTTAACCATGCTCATAAAAGGATGGGCACTGCTCTTCTGAAATTGTCAAAAGAGTTGAGATTGGGTGGTAGGGGCAAAGGAAAGCTGACTAAAGACAAAGCTCTTAAATTTCAGTATTATTACCGCTTTGCCATCACTAACAATGTTGGTAACATTGATGGTACAAGGAATGCAATCTGGGCAAGTTTGTTTCATTGCATGTCAACCGATGATTCTCCCCATCACACTAGATGTCCCACTGGTCCCTCAAGTTGGTGTTTTTATAATAGAGCACTGGCTAATGATCTTGAGCCTCCTGCTCACGCAGACAACATCAGACATTTTCTCGATGCAGAAATTGCAGAAAAGATGGTACCTGTGTATCAAAGAATGTCTGATGAAAACCTCCTTAAGAGGATGGTGAAAGGCAAGACACAGAATGCTAATGAATGCTTGCATTCCGTGATCTGGTCCCGTTGTCCGAAGACCGTCTTTGTGGGTGCAAGGCGGTTGCATCGGGCAGTGGCGTCTGCAATAGCTTCGTTCAATGAGGGTACTTGTCACATTACTCAGGTAATGAACAAGCTTGCAATAGAAGCTAATGAAATAACAGCAGCTTCTGTTGAAAGACTTGATAATGTGAGAACCCTCAAAGCAAGGAAGCAAAGCCAGGAGACATCTAAGATGGAACGTAGTGAAAAGTGGGAGGCTAAAAAAAGGGACCGAGTTCATGTTGAGGCAGCTGAAGGCTTGTTGTATGGTGCTGGGGAGTTTTAAGTCCTGTTATTTCTTTGCACATGCATTGTTTTATGTATCTTGAATACATCCCATCAGTAAACTAAGATTTTGTAAGTGTTTAATAGGTGCTTTAGGAAGAAAACCATATACAAACTTATTTCCTCATTTTCTCCATTAACGTCATTTTGGATCTTAGTGAACATAGATCTCAACCGTTATTGGCCCGATTTGAATGAAATTTGGTGTACATATAGGCAGAGGACTACTTTACACAATAACAGAGAGACTTTTTAAAATTTGTTGGCCATTTTGATTTTAAAAAATAAATTATGGGTAAAAATCAACCTAAAAAGTGTGAAATTTTGAAAAATTATTTTAAAAATATATTCCAGTCTTTTTTTAATTTTTCTTTCTGTCATTGTACCCAACACCATACAAGCTTTGTTATACAATTGAAATTATATAAATATCTTTATTGGTCTTAGAGAAAAACTGAAACTAATTTCCATCTTTTTCAGGCTTGCGGCGGCCATCTTGGATGTTTCCATGGCAACCGGTGGCAACATCACCTGGAAAAGACTCCATTTCAATTGTTAATATGTATACCTCAAAGTTGTAACCAATTAAAACTAACAAATACTTGTGAAGCATTTTGTCAACTGTAAGGTGCAGTGTCTGGCCTTAAAGAGCATCTGGGTCCTACCTTGATCATGGACCTGTTGAGAATCTCATGATCATATCAGATACTAGATTTTACCTTATCCTGACCTATACTATTGCCTCTCAACTTGTTTCTGAAAGTAGTGGAAACTTCCGGAACCGTGTTCCTGGAGATCAGAAAGAAACAGCTCTCCTGAATGCATGCCTGGTCTGTGCATGCACACTGGAAACATGTCATGTAGCCGTTATACTCATCACTCTCTCATTTTTCCGTTGAGTGGTTGGGGAATAATTTCCTGAGCTTTTGAATCGGAGCCATCCTATCAAAATTAACTCTCTTTTTTTTCTCTTATCCTGCATTACTACCTTAATGCTTCTACTGCTGTTTTATTTTACTTCGTAGACAGAGCTGTGAGAGGTCCTGGCTACAGAAGTTGTTGTACCCACTAGTTGTGTAGCTTCCTTCCTCCACCTTTGGGGTACATCTACAATCAGTCTGAATTTAAACCAGCTAAAACAGGCAATTAACAGCCTAGGCGCAGCTCTCTTAAGGCCCCTCACACTTCTTCTTCCTCCCTTCGTGGCAAAGGTCATGAACATACAAGGCAATTATTAACCCGGCTGTCGCCAACACAAGCCCAGGGGTGGTGACGGCAGAGGCAGGCGCTGTTATCCTGGTATCTCCCACCCACCCCCTCGTCCCAATCATAGACACACCTGTAGTTTGGGGGCCAAGTGGACAATTCTTCATGATCCCTTGTTTATCACCATCATCCTTTGTCTGGGGTACTGGTTCTCTCCCATAGCAGACCCAGCCCATGGCGGACTCCCACCCCCTCATCAGGCGGACTCCCAAGCCCTCATCAGGCTGACTCCCGACCCCTCATCAGGCGGACTCCCACCCCCTCATCAGGCAGACTCCCACCCCCTCATCAGGCGGACTCCCACCCCTCGTCAGGCAGACTCCCACCCCTCATCAGGCGGACTCCCACCCCCTCATCAGGTGGACTCCCACCCCCTCATCAGGCGGACTCCCACCCTCTCATCAGGCTCAGCACTTGCTCCCGACCATTCAGCATCTGGGGCTCAAGCAGGCGGTTGAGATTGTTCACGATCCAGTGGGGCATTAAGGAATCTATTCCCCCGTGTTCCTGGAGCCCAAGAAGGACTTGGATAACACACAATCACGCCATCTTGAACAAGCATCACCTGGAATGTCCTCCCTACTTTCATCTAACTTCTTGGAGACTGCTCATGACTAGAATCAATGTCAACGATTCGCTGTTCAGTCGCGACCTACAGGACGCTTATCTTCATGTGCCCTCTCCCACTCTGCAGTAAGCAGAAATCTATTTTCCACAGCGAACTTTACAAAATCAGATTTACTCCTCTCTTTCACATGTAGGAGGTGGCACCCCATTATGATATAAAGAAGAAATAAGAGGAATATCATGTTTCTAAGGGGTTATCTGAACCACTCACAAGTGGAACCCACCACCTTCCATGGGATTCAGGCAAAAGTATGAGTCAGGATAAGGCAAAATGTGTATTTTTGTAAATAAAAATATCATTTATACTTATCCTGCCTCAAACGCTATAGCACTCACCCAGCCTTCCTGGGCACCCAGCTCCCCTGTGTCTTAGCCATTAGGTAAGGGAAATGTGAGATTCTCTTTCTGATTAAATCCTCCTTGGGGCACTTATTGCATTTTCCTTGCTCAAGAAAATCTACATGACATAGTTGTAACCATTTTCCTTAATAAAAAATGTTACCACACAAAAAACTTCGTTTTTGTATGATATACGACCACCCTTACGGGGCCTCACCCCCAACGGCGCCTCACGCCAGGGGGAGCAACTCTCACCCAAATCACTTTCCTTATGTCATCTGTAAGAGACAGACGTGTTGATTTTTCACACAAGACAAAAATAAGAGAAATCTATCGTTCGACAAGAACCATGGCTGACCAAACTGTATGTATGGTACATTTCTTTCATTGCAAAGGCGTAATACCTCGCATTGTGAAGTTATAGAGTTGTAATAATACACCACGTGCACGGTACCTTTGAATTCAAATGGCCGTAATGGCGTCCATATTGTAGTTCCACGGGCTGATACATGTAACACCAAGGCCATTAAGAAACGGCTTGGGGTTTTGTTATATCATACAGCATTGGTCTACAATTTTTTCCTTTACAAAACCCAAGGTGGTGTGTTAATTCATAAACTACACTTACCTTTTTTACGGGTTTTACACCTTAGCGCGTAACACGCCCCTTTGGTGTTATAATTATACTACGACATTGGCTATTAGTATCGCGTTACAAATCGCATTCTACATTACGCCTTTGCTTCTAGTTTCACAATTTATGCACGTATCTTTCCGATCTTTATATCGCACTGATACACGTTGATACCCTTCCCGCCCACCTCAGAAATTACGGTCTTGTTTACAAGACCTTCAAACTGTGTACGGGTTGTTCTAAGACAGACACGAACGCTGCCTAATATGTCTGGCGGAGGACATTGCCTTTACCCCCCGGGGCCCCCAAAAAGAGACAAGTTGACTTGTTCCACTTTAAAGAGGTCTATTAAAGGCGGGGTAGATATCAGATCTACTAAGACATTCACCCCCCCCTCCCCATCTAAAAAGGGTAGTAAGCACTGCACCCTCTCCTGCACTGTCTTTGGCAGACTTTTCTGCGTTACTTAAGTCGCAGATGGCGTCGATGATGGAGGAGGTAAAGTCTCAGCTCCGAGAGGAGATGCGGACCGAGCCTTCCCCGTTGTCGGCGCCGGACGCGGCTTCGAGACCTTGTGATATGCCCGGCGTCGGCCGAGGCAGGCCACTTGGTCTCGGGGACGATCTCAGACCGGGCTTCGGCGCTGGCTCGAGGTCGTTCCCCAGCGGAGGGGTGGCGGGCGCCGGCCCGTGCACTACCGACGCACAATTTTCCCTAGCGGAGCCAGACGCCTCTTCCGAGGCCGAGGCTTCCACTAGTGGATACCTAGCCCGGAGCCAGGTTGGTTCCCTTTTGTCTCGGGGACGATCCGAGACCGAGCTTCGGCTCCGGCTCGAGGTCGCTCCCCAGCGTAGTGGTGGCGGGCACCGGCCCGTGCACTACCGACGCACAATTTTCCCTAGCGGAGCCAGACGCCTCTTCCGAGGCCGAGGCTTCCACTAGTGGATGCATAGCCCGGCGCCACTTGAACCCCCGGCACCTCGGCACCGGGACTCGGCCTCGGGCCGGGTGCAGAGACACGTGCGGGACAGGATTGTCCAGGTACTGCCTCAGGTGGCTGCGCCCATGCCAGAGTCGGAGACACCCAACTTGACTAAGGTCAAGCAGGGCCGTCGGTTGCCCCCCCTTTCCCGTGTGCGGTGCGGAGTTGAAGGCTGCTTACATATGCTTCGAGGAGCAATATCATAATGCATGCCAACAGCTCCGTGTGTCCGTACACTCCGCGTATCTGTCGGCTGTACAGAGGGAGTTAGCGGGAGAGGGGCCGGCCGACTCTTCGGAGTTGGCCGCGCAACTAACGGAAGTTCAGTTATCTTGCGCGGGACGCTATTCGTAGCTGTGCCTCGCAGATGATGTGCGCTGTTATGGGCATGCGCAGGCGGTGGATGTCGGTATCTAAATACTCGACTTACACACGCCAAGACCTACTTGCTTTGCCGTATAAGAGGGTGCCACCCTCTTCCCTGGGGCTCAGCAGGTGGTCCGAGAGGCTGCTCAATTGTATACTTCCATCAAAGACTCATAAGGCCTTGTTGGAGGTACCAAGCGTTAAAACCGCATAAGGTATAAGGGCGCCGGGAGGAGCAAGAGAGGCACGGGCCGGGGCAAGGCAGCTGGTCGAGGCCAACAGCTTTTTCGCGGGGCTGGGAACGATGGGTTCCCATTAGCGCCCGAAGAGCCCCGGGTGAACCCACAGTCGCAAGTTATCGAACTGCCGACAGCCGGGGTCCACTGCCTCCAGCCGGATGTCCCCGTAGGCGGCCGACTGGCTCTATTCCTGAAGGAATGGGAGACAGTTACATCACAATCCCCGGACCCCGTCCATTTTAAGGGATGGCCATTTGCCTCGGTGGAAAACTCATCCGCTCCTCCACTTTTCCGGGATAAAGCACACTCCGGTGGTTACTAAGAGCTCTATTGCAATCCCTGAGTCAGATAGCTACACAACAAGTGATAGATATTCTGATCACTATAGGGTGTATGGTCAATCTCAAGAAGTCAGATCTGAGCCCCACTCAGAATCTAGTCTTCCTAGTGGCTAATTTCAACACGGTGAGAGGACGTGTATCTCTGTCACAAGATATCAAGTCCCTTAAGCGCAAGTCACACTGCTCGTACATGGCTCCAGTTACTGGACAACATGGCGGCGACAGTGGATTTGGTCTGGCGGGCGCGCTTGAGAATGAGTCCCATTCAACAAGCACTTCGTCGACTTTGGGCGAACTCGGAAGATCTCGAGACTGTGCTCGAGACTCCGTAGTGGCTCATAACACCTCCAGTGGTGGACCGAGGTCGGGAATCACTCCCGTTCCGTCTCTCACAGTTCAAACAGACGCGTCACTCTCCGACTGGGGAGGCGTTCTGAATGATCACACTGCCTCGGGACTATGGTCCCAGCAGGAGATCAAACTGCATATCAATGTGCTAGAACTGAGAGCGGTCAGGTTGGTGTTCCAACGCTTCCCGGATCTGCTTCGTGGCCAAGTGGTTCGTCTAGAGATGGACAACCAAACGGCGATGACTTACATCCGGAAGCAGGGGGGAACGGCGTCTCCGTCGCTTCGACGAAAGACGTGGCAGTTCCTACTATAGTGCGACTCTCACGATATCAGGGTGCTACCTGTTTATCTCCCGGGGGTGGACAACGTCCGTGCGGACGCTCTGCCTTGCCGGATCCTCGCTCCTCACGAGTGGAGGCTCGACCCGGGGATATTCGGGATTTTCTCCCTGTTATACAGGTCATTACAGGTGGATCTGTTTGCGTCTGGGTTAAATAACCAGACACCAACGTTCTGCTCCCGAGTCCACGACCCGAGGTCGGTGGCACCGGACGCCTTTCAGCTAGATTGGACGGACAGTTCTGTGGGCATTCTCCCCAGTACCTCTGATTTCCAAGGTCCTGTCTCAGCTAGGCACTCAGCCTGCGCGACTTATTGTGCTCCTGGCACCTCTTTAGTCGGCGCAGAGTGGGTTTCCAGTAATACTCAGGTTTCTGGCTCAGCCTCCTGTTATATTACCTTTACGACCGGACCTCCTATCCCAGAACGGGGCCCTCCACCCGAATTTCAGGATTCAATTTGTGGCTTGGCCACTGTCAGGAATCGCCTCCAGAAGAGCGGTATTCCTGCACGAGTTGCAGACACAATACTGGCTTCGCGGAGGGATTCGACAAACGTTCAGTACGATAGATAGGCCTGCTATGCGCCCTGGTGTGTCGATAGAGGGATTGCAGATCTTTTTTCTGCAGATCTCGTATCCGTGCTTGAGTTTCTCCAGTCGCGACTAGATGACGGCCTGGCCGCATCAACAGTCCGAGGGTACTCTACAGCTATCACAGCTTTTCACGTCCCTGTCGACGGGGCACTTCTGGGTGCACACCCATTAGTGCAGCGCTTTTTAGCAGGTGTGGACAGGATCCGACCGCCAGTCCGGCGGATCAGTCATTCTCGATTGGCTGTCCGATCCTTCCTTTCGGGATCTGTCGTCTCTCTCTCTTCAGCTGTTGAGCTGGGAGACGGCGTTCCTTGTGGTGGTAACGTCCGGCAGACGGGTAGGCGACATTCGTGTTATGTCAGCCGATCCCAAAAATAACTGTCTTCCATGGGGTCGATAAATATCACCGGGACAGTCAGTTTTCGTCTACCGGACTATTACCGTCCTAGGGTCGCACACGATTCCACGTGAACGGCTCCTATTGAGCTACCTGCTCTTTCACAGCCTTCCTCGTCGGGGACCACTGCAAGACATGCTCATGTCTTGGATGTCCGCACGACTCTCAAGGCCTATATCAGCAGAAATATGGGTGTCCGTAAGGATAACCAACTATTTTGCTGTTACTGCGGTAGGAAGGTTGGCTCACCTGCGAGTAAACAATCTATCTCGAGGTGGATAGTTTCAACCATTTGTACAGCGTATACGCTTACAGGCAGGGACCCCCCTACCAGGTTGAAGGCTCATTAGGTTAGAGCAGTGGCTGCGTCAAAAGCGTACGCCGCGGCTCTGCCCATTGAGCAGATCTGCTCCGCGGCTATTTGGAGCCAGCCGAGCACGATTCATCAAACCTTACCAACTCGACAAACACTCAAGCGAGCGTACTCGGTTTGGTCAGTCAGTTCTCCGAACTGGGCAAAGTTCTAATCTCTAGCTGATTGAGCATTCGAGGTTTTAGACAGTCTTCCGGTTATACTGCTCAGTAATGGTCCGGATTTTATCTTCTGCGGTCAATAAATATCAGTCCTTACTACTCGATAATATTCGTATTTTGCGCACGCACTCCTTCGATCCTCGGGGACCCTCTGGCCCAGCTCAGCGCTGGTTATGGTCTCTCGTGATCTACGCCCTTATATCACTTGTTAAAAAAAAGTGTGTGGGGGGGGTGGGAGGTGTTTCGAGTTCTCAACTTATGACAAGCCGCAAAAACAGGCTTTATCATAATATATGGTCGACCACGCCCTGTCTCTAGCCCCCGCCTTTCGACGGTGGTGCCTCACGATAAGGTTGGTTCCATTTATTGAACTCAATATTTTATTCTGTTGAATAATCAAAAAGGATGTATTTATTTACGCCTGTTGCTGACGGATGCCACTTCCTAGATTATCTCTGGGAGTCTGTCTTGATGCAATAAGTGCCCCAAGGAGGATTTAATCAGAAAGAGAATTTTACAAACCAGTAGAGGTTATGAATTCTCTGATGAAATCCTCCTTGGGGCACGGCCACCCACCTCCCCACATTCCGTCAGCATTTGACATATGGAAAGTGATTTGGGTGAGAGTTGCTCCCCCTGGCGTGAGGCGCCGTTGGGGGTGAGGCCCCGTAAGGGTGGTCGTATATCATACAAAAACGAAGTTTTTTGTGTGGTAACATTTTTTATTAAGGAAAATGGTTACAACTATGTCATGTAGATTTTCTTGAGCAAGGAAAATGCAATAAGTGCCCCAAGGAGGATTTCATCAGAGAATTCATAACCTCTACAGGTTTGTAAAAGTGACTAGTATGCTGGCTTGGTCACGTGTTTCTGGTGCACATGTGCAGACCAGGGGTGCATTCGGGTGAGCTGTTTTTTCAGTTCTCTGGGAAGAAAGTTCATTAAGTTTTCGTTACCTGAGTAAACGAGTTGAGATGGCTATAGTATGAGTATGATATGTATAAATGAGAATTTTACTCTGAAACATACATTTTGGGGCATCTTTTGTAAACAAATTAGCTGTCACCTCTGAAACCACCCTGACAACTTTGTTAATGAATAGAAGTAAAACAAAGTGAGCAACGCACAAAGTTAATTGTATCTTCATTTGTTAATTGATTAGCAAGAAATATGTAAGTCGTGATATATGAGTTTGTCTCTGTAAGAATACTGCTGTCTAGTGTACGAATACCTTCATATGTTGTGTATGAATACCTTCATATGTTGTGTATGAATACCTTCATGTGTTGTGTGTGAATACCTTCATATGTCGTCTACGAATACTTTCATATCTTGTGTACAAATACCGTCTTATTTTGTGTATGAACACTTTCATATGTTGTGCTGCAGGTTTTCTCCGGACAATCGGTTGCTGGTTTCCGGCAGTGATGACAAGACCGTGCGGCTATGGGACCGACAGAGCAAGGAATGCGTCCACACCTTCTACGAAACAGGAGGGTGAGTTGACAGTGGTGGATAGAGAATACCTAACGTAGGCATACGCGATATCGAAAAGGATGCATGTTGTCATTCTCTGTTGTGAGGTGTTGCTGTTTGCCTTGATTTCCTTGATACTCATGGGTTTTACTGAAGTGGTACATGTCTTGATGATGCAGACCTTCCCCCAGAGCAACATGCTGTGTTGTGTGTTCTGACTTGTGCGTGTTTGCTGTGCAGGTTTGTGAACCATGTAGAGTTCCACCCGAGCGGCACCTGCATCGCCTCGGCCAGCACGGACGGAGGAGTGAAGGTGTGGGACATCAGGATGAACAAGATACTGCAGAACCATGTCGGTACGTGATCCCTACACACAGGTGTTGCCGGAGGTTTTTTAAATTTTAACAGACGGCAGAACCTTACGTCATGTGACTTATGTTTATTGACAAGCAGAAGACGAGAATTTGAGATTTTGTAAATATTTGGTATTAGTGATCTACATCTATTTATCTGTGTTGGACATTTGTTTTTTCTGTACTTGCATATAATGCAGTAATTCAGAACATTTTTGTCAGCTGAGGTGTTGCAGTGTGTGTACATCATAAGTACCGCTGTGTGACTTCCTTTGAGACTTAATTAACAAGATATCATGATAATTACCATTATCCACAAATTTAAGTATCTGGTGTTTCTTCCCGAGGCAAGAGAGTAAACTGCCTTTAAAAGTCAAGTTTCCACCCTTGCCGAACTTGGATGGAATTACTTGGCTCGATCGTAGCGCCACCAGTGGCTACTACAAGTTATGTCCCTTCTAAGCCTTTCCTATGGACCAATCACATTCCACCTCTCGTATCACTTGCGTCTGCATCAAATCATCTGAGCACCTTGATTAAAAACATAAAAAGATATGAAAAAATATCTGCTGACAACGAGTTGGCGGTGCACATGCTTTGCAAATCCTGCAATCGATCGAAGTCTGCATGACAGTTTACGAAACGGATTTCGATTTCGGTGTGCGATTTTGATTGGACCATGCATAGACTCGTTAGTCCAGCCAAAATGCAACTCCATAATACCAGCCTTGTTCGGCAAGGGTGGAAACTGGACTTTTATAGTCTTGCCTCGGGAAGATGATAGGTCCCCAGTAACTTCTGCGTGTTGTGCGAGGTGACTAAATAGATCGGGTTGTCAGGTAGGGTCCTGGTTGTCAGCATGCCATCGTAACCAATGTTCCCTGGACCGGACTCAAATACTCCCAGACCGCCATCACATAGTTAAAATATTGCTGTGTGCATCGTTAAGCAACAAAAGCAACTTCCCATGTCTTTAACATTTGTGTTCGTCCAGCTCACACCGCCGCCGTCAACAGCCTGTCCTTCCACTCCAGCGGCAACTACCTCCTCACAGGCTCCGACGATGCCACGGTCAAGATATTCGACCTGTTGGAGGGCAGGATCTTCTACACTCTACACGGCCATCAGGTACTGGTCAATTCCCCACATTGTCAAAGGAGACCGCAACAAACCGAGCTCGCATGCATGATTTACTGGGTTCGGTTCCATTGAAAATGTGGCGGGTTTTAATCTTTGTGTTGCACACTTTATGGGAATTGTGTCATGTTTGTAATTTGCTGTTTCTATTTAAAGTGTGTACTTATTCCATAGTTTGGTTGCTCTCTGCTGGTTTTCGTTGCTAGACCTGAATACAGTCAATGGTAACAGAAGCAGAGCTTCAGATATCTTTTTGAGCAATTGAGTTTTTACTCTAGGGTTTCTATTTTAATTGGGTTATTTCAATTTTCATTGGGAAATATAATTTCACTCATTTATTGATCACTCTATTGGTTTTTTCCCAAAATGAGTAAGCAATATAAAAATAATGAAATAATGTTTTAGATGTATATAAGTGTCATAAGTAAAGACTTGACTCGGAAAGTAAATTAGCTTGTAATTGTGTTTAGAAAATTAACTCTGTTGTACGCATGCTGAAAAAACTTTATACGGTATTTATGCACGCTGTTTTAAAAAATTTGCGTTTTCCATTTAATGCATGCGTTTATGTACGCAAGGAAATTGAAAGTAATTGGGTTTTGAATAGTTTTGGGGGGTATTTTATGCAAATACGCAGCTTATCTGTAACTCTGCTGATGTCATTCAAACCAGCTGGTGTATTTGATATTAACATGTGTGTTTCATTTTAGGGCCCAGTGACTGCTGTGGCATTTTCAAGAAATGGAGAGTATTTCTCAACAGGTGGTGCAGACGAACAGGTGGGTTTATTGTGAAGCTTCTGGATATTGTCTCAAGGGAGATAATTTTGACATTCTGGGTATTGTCTCCCTTGCACCACTAGGCCTCATGCAGATTTGATGGCTTTAACACTGTGGCAGGGGGCACAGAAACATTTCCCAGCTGTAGATGCAGAAATGTGATGCCCTCTCAAAACTATGAAAGCTGATGTAGTTTCCTGTCACAACCAAGTTCTCACATTTTTCTATGGGTTCAAGTGTGGTTAGGTTTTTAAGGTAGCACACTATTTGGAAGTGGATTGAACACTTGAACTAAGGGCATGAAAACGATTCAGAATCCAACAATAGGTCCCTGATTTCTCTCCTGTCAACAGGGGTTAAAAAAATACCATTGCCCAATCCCCGTGACAAATAATGTTTAGATGTCGGGCGAGGAATATACGTTTTCTAGCATGCCCGTGGACAAGTGGAGCACACAAAATGAACTGGGTCAAGAATGTAATCATGTGATCATGTGACGATATTTCATTGGCTAATATTTTGCTGATGTCCCTGACTGGCAACCAATTTGCATACAGTTACACCAGTCAACCAATGGGATTAAAACACATCGATGTCCGGCAAGTCATCAATGAGAAGCAGGCTTGTTTCATTGATAAATCATAGTAACACTTCCATATATGGCACATGCTTCTTGAAAATTGAATGAAGGACAGTTGACTACATGTCTTGGAATTTGTAATGCGAGGTAGGTCTTGTGCTGACTTGTGAAGATTTGTTAGGCCTACCGCATATCGCTGTCTATAAAGCAACCCCACGTATAAGACGACCCCCCTGTACAAGCCTTTAAAATCGATGCTAATTTATATACCCCATCTATAAAGCGAATCGGAATGAAGCACGTCACCAGACATACACAATCCCTACATTTGCAATAAAAACGTGTTTGTCTTCCGCATTCAGCGAATTCAGGGAAACGAACAGATCATACCAATTAAACTTGGTCAATACACATTCAAAGTTTGAGGTAAAAAACACTAGACATGATCATTTACCGATTACATTCTATTTCCAGTTCTGATAGGCATTGGTTTATATGCAGAGATTAAGATTACCGTGTGTATTTTCTCGTAAACTAAGCCGGAAGTAGCAATCAGCTATACACACTTTTCTCAGAATCGATCGGTGATGGTTAATAACAACCCAATAATAGATCTATAACTTTAAAGAATTTTGAATCTGAAACTATTATTTTATTCGGAATAATTTATTCCAATGTAATACTATTTTACTGTACATATTTGAAATAAATTAATAACCATAAGTGTAGCAATTTTGGTACAGCTGATTGCTGTTGCCGGATAGTTTTTTTTTTATGGAATAATTTGTCTTATCACCAATGCGGTGATCAGCTGATAATGTTGTTTTAGATGAGGGGAAAACATTGTGTCAGTGAAAGACTTGAGTTTATTAAGTATGAAAGTAAATTTTGGGAGCCATGCGTTCTCACACGCTATAACCGAGTTAGCGCTATATTGAGGGGCAGAATAGCAAGTACATTTTAATATAGGGCAAGTAAGAATGTTGGTCATACTTGCCCTTGGTCAAGTAACATTTTCCAAAAATTTTCAACGCCTGCTCCACTTGCTAGCTGTGTATGTCATGGACCTGTCACATGGCTCAAGTCCCAAATGTTTGTGGCAGGTGCTGGCCTGGAAGACCAACTTTGACCAGATAGACTTCAACCAGGTCTTGCCCCGACGATCCACCGCGCCCCCAACAGTGGAAGATATACCACCACGGTCGCAGAGGAAGTCGCCGAGAAGGGTAAGTGTCTGTTCCCTGTGCTCCTGGTGTCTGTTCCCTGTGCTCCTGGTGTCTGTACCCTGTGCTCCTGGTGTCTCTACCCTGTGCTCCTGGTGTCTACCCTGTGCTTCGTGTGTCTGTACCCTGTGCTCCTGGTGTCTGTACCCTGTGCTTCGTGTGTCTGTACCCTGTGCTCCTGGGCCCACTTGCACAAAGCGATCTTAGCGCTAAGACTATTGTAAGCCCATGTTAAAGTATGGGAGTTACAATCATCTTAGCACTAAGATCGCTTTGTGCAAGTGAGCCCTGGTGTCTGTACCCAGGCCTTGTGTGTCTGTACGCTGTGCCCCTGGTGTCTGTACCCTGTGCTCCTGGTGCCTGTACCCTGTGCTCCTGGTGCCTGTACCCTGTGCTCCTGGTGTCTATACCCTGTATTCCTGGTGTCTGTACCCTGTCTGGACTACTTCCACATTCCTGGGGAAACCCTGCGAATTCCCCATCACTAATAAATACAGAAGCATTGTTTCTCATTATTTGGACCTTTTTATCTTGAACTTAGCCTTTAAGCATACATGAGGATAAGTCAGAGAGTTTGATTGCAAGCCCCGTTCAAGGATATCCTCGCTACAACCAATCCTAGAAAACAAAACTAAGAAAAGCACATCCAAACTAACGTAGTATCGACTCGATCCTTGTCTAGACTACAGTGACAGTCAACAGCAATCTATGAATTTACCTTAGTATCTATCACCTTTCAGTGATTGACCAATTGATCAGTGATGACTAACACTTGTAATAGCCACAGGTTCATTAACAACTTTGGTAATCTCTCCAGTCACGTTTATAGTAAACGGCTAGTTTGGTGTCTTGTATGTGATATAAATGTATTATTGTGACTGACTCACTGAGGTAGTTCTTAACAGACCATTCTCATCCAATGATGGTATTATTTGAATTCTCATCATATGATGGTATTATTTGAATACATGTGTATCGGATGTCTAGCATGTGTATCGGATGTCTTGCATGTGTATTGGATGTCTTGCATGTGTATTGGATGTCTTGCATGTGTATCGGATGTCTTGCATGTGTATCGGATGTCTTGCATGTGTATTGGATGTCTTGCATGTGTATTGGATGTCTTGCATGTGTATCGGGTGTCTTGCATATGTATCCGATGTCTTGCATGTGTATTGGATGTCTTGCATGTGTATTGGATGTCTTGCATGTGTATTGGATGTCTTGCATGTGTATCGGGTGTCTTGCATATGTATCCGATGTCTTGCATGTGTATCGGATGTCCTACATAGGCACTGTATGTGTTTCAGCTTGATGCACGGTCAGAGGTTCGCTGCATGGATGATGAGGACCCGGGGGTCACTGATGTGGGCCCCGCCCTCTTCTCCTCCCAGGTAGACAGATGCGTGCATGGCGTGGGATGTTGGCCTCTATATAAAATTTGCTGTTGAAATACTGTATTCTCATGACAAATAATGCAGGGATAATTCTAGGCTGGGGCCTAATACATTTTGCCCATAAATTTGAAAAAAGGCCTACATTTTCAAATACAAGGGGCATTTTAACATTGGGCTGCATGAAATATTTGAAATTTTCACATAAAAGGCCCATGTCAGAAAATTCCTAGACTGAACCCTGATAATGTCTCTTGTTCATAGTTACTTTGATCACAATAATGACGTTTTTTTCTTTATTCAAAAATGAGCAACTTGACATTTTACTGCAGTGGTATTATCAGGCAGATAGACTTGCCTTGTGTTGTGTCTCCTTCATGTACTTCAGCACTGAGTTGTGTTTGTCTCTTTGTTTCAGCCAACACTGTCTAATGGTGTGTCAGATCACCTCCACTCGGACTATGACATGGCCTCCGCCCGGGACGTGGACACATCCATGTCACAGCGGTCGCGGGACTACACATCAGTCACACAGCCCCTGGAGTTGAGGTCAATACCGCCACAGCTCACTCAGTTCATGGAGAAGATTGCAGGCCAGCTAGACATACTGACTCAGGTAACATGCTCAAACATTTAGTTACAAGTCACTTCAGGCCAGCTAGACATACTGACTCAGGTAACCCGCTCAAACATTTAGTGACAAGTCACTTCAGGCCAGCTAGACATACTGACTCAGGTACCTATGCTCCTGGTGCCTGTACCCTGTGCTCCTGGTGCCTGTACCCTGTGCTCCTGGTGTCTGTACCCTGTGCCCCTGGTGCCTGTACCCTGTGCTCCTGGTGTCTGTACCCAGGCCTTGTGTGTCTGTACCCTGTGCCCCTGGTGCCTGTACCCTGTGCTCCTGGTGTATATACCCTGTGCTCCTGGTGCATGTACCCTGTGCTCCTGGTGTCTGTACCCTGTGCTCCTGGTGTCTGTACCCTGTGCTCCTGGTGTATGTACCCTGTGCTCCTGGTGCCTGTACCCTGTGCTCCTGGTGTCTGTACCCTGTGCTCCTGGTGTCTGTACCCAGGCCTTGTGTGTCTGTACCCTGTGCCCCTGGTGTCTGTACCCTGTGCTCCTGGTGTCTGTACCCTGTGCTCCTGGTGTCTGTACCCTGTGCTCCTGGTGTCTGTACCCTGTGCCCCTAGTGTCTGTACCCTGTGCTACTGGTGTCTGTACCCAGGCCTTGTGTGTCTGTACCCTGTGCCCCTAGTGTCTGTACCCTGTGCTCCTGGTGTCTGTACCCTGTGCTCCTGGTGTCTGTACCCAGGCCTTGTGTGTCTGTACCCTGTGCTCCTGGTGTCTGTACCCACACAGCCCCTGGAGTTAAGGTCAATACCGCCACAGCTCACTCAGTTCATGGAGAAGATTGCAGGCCAGCTAGACATACTGACTCAGGTAACCCGCTCAAACATTTAGTTACAAGTCACTTCAGGCCAGCTAGACATACTGACTCAGGTAACCCGCTCAAACATTTAATGACAAGTCACTTCAGGCCAGCTAGACATACTGACTCAGGTAACCAGCTCAAACATTTAGTGACAAGTCACTTCAGGCCAGCTAGACATACTGACTCAGGTAACCCGCTCAAACATTTAGTTACAAGTCACTTCAGGCCAGCTAGACATACTGACTCAGGTAACCCGCTCAAACATTTAATGACAAGTCACTTCAGGCCAGCTAGACATACTGACTCAGGTAACCAGCTCAAACATTTAGTGACAAGTCACTTCAGGCCAGCTAGACATACTGACTCAGGTAACCCACTCAAACATTTAGTGACAAGTCACTTCTGACTCAGGTAACATGCTCAAACATTTAGTGACAAGTCACTTCCAAGCTCAGGCCAGCTAGACATACTGACTCAGGTAACCCGCTCAAACATTTAGTGACAAGTCACTTCCAAGCTCAGGCCAGCTAGACATACTGACTCAGGTAACATGCTCAAACATTTAGTAACAAGTCACTTCCAAGGACAGGCCAGCTAGACATACTGACTCAGGTAACCCACTCAAACATTTATTGACAAGTCACTTCTGACTCAGGTAACATGCTCAAACATTTAGTGACAAGTCACTTCCAAGCTCAGGCCAGCTAGACATACTGACTCAGGTAACCCACTCAAACATTTAGTGACAAGTCACTTCTGACTCAGGTAACATGCTCAAACATTTAGTGACAAGTCACTTCTGACTCGGGTCACATGCTCAAACATTTAGTGACAAGTCACTACTGACTCAGGTAACATGCTCAAACATTTAGTGAGAAGTCACTTCCAAGGACAGACCAGCTAGACATACAATATTCCAGCTATATAACAGCGATCTGTAAATAATCGAATCTGGATCAGACAGTCCAGTGAATGACATGTGCATTGATCTATGTTATTGGAATACGATGACATGCATCAACCAAGTCAGCGAGTCTGGCAACCCGGTGCCATTACCCACCTCTTACGACAAGCATGGGTTACTGAAGACCAATTCTAACACAGGTCTTCAGCGGAATGTGGATTCTTTCTCTCCTGAATGTTTGGTAATTGTACAGCAAGGGTTTCCAGCAGATTATGTTTCAGTCATTGTGACTTTCCTTTCATACTGCAGAATGTGCCATGTCTTGAAATTGTAACTCAACTGAAGAACCTGGTCTGATGTTAGCGTGAATAAACGGGACGTCGTGAACAATACAAAGCGACACTTACTCAGGGGTGATAATCCAGGTTTTGACAGGACCACCTCCGTGGTCTAGTGGAAGAGCGTCCGCCCAGAGAGCCGAAGGTCCGGGGTTCAATCCCCGGCTGCGTCATACCAAAGACGTTAAAAGATGGTACTTGTTGTTACCCTGTCTGGCGCTCAGCATTTAGGGGCTAAAACAAGGACTGGTCGGCTCGGAGTCAGTATACTGTGTCTGAGTGGGATATTCATGTTAAACTGCGGCATGGTATCTCAGTGAGCTAGCACTATAAATCGACATCAGTCCGGACTAGTACAAGTAGCCACACAAACACACACATGTACATGCACATCCCTATATAAGTGCAATAATCTTGGATGCGACATTAAACCCCATTTCACCTCAACTCACCTCACCAGGTTTTGACACGTCTGGTCGATTAGTCCCGGACTAGTAAAACATAGATTTTTTCATTTTTCATGAGAAGGCGGTCATATTGTGGTGCCAGTACTTGGTATTAAGCAAGACTTTCAACTTGAGAAACGCTAATATTTACATTAATAGTACATGGTAACTTATTAGCCTTCAGTTTCTCTGGCTGCAGCGGAGACTAACTCTTTGTGTCAGTTTTTGGGTAATCCAGAGTTCCCTCCCTTACACTGTAAAATGATCATATTGTTAGCATTAGGCCTGAAAATAATTGATTTTCTTCTCTGCCGGCTTCACTACCAAACACCTTACCTTGTGAATGACCTCCGTAGACAGTTAATGTCCATAGTCCGTGATAATTACCCACCTGTGGGGAATCCAGGTAAGAGTGTGGGTCCCCAGGAACCTATGCTTGTCTTAGAGGCAACCAAATGAATCTCGTGGTCAGGCTTGCTGACTTGTTCAACTGCATGTCATCGTATCTCAATTGTGTGGATCGATGCTCATGATGTTAATCACTGGACTTAATTCATGTATAGGCTGCCAATAGCTGGAATATTGCAAAGTGCGGGGGTTAAACAACAAACAGATAAAAACTTTATGATTACCGGTAACTTTTTTGGGTATTATGTGGAGTATCACATACATTTTGTGATCTTTTGCACACATTTTCTCATCTCGTTTGACACAAAATAAACTATGATTTTTTTGGGATAATTCCCCCAGAATTGGATGAAAATATATTAGATAATTTATTTTATAGTTAAAATGGATAGAATTATCATTAAACCGCCCACATGTTATCAGAAATGAGCGGGCCACTGTAACTTGATAATGCCCTCATATTGCTTGACGACGGGCCATTATCACGCCCTTTGTTAGGTGACGTCATAGGGATAGGGATAGGTGACGTCACATTCAATAGTGACGTCATCTGGTTTGTTCTATGACGTTTCCATATTTGCAAAAGTGGGTCAGTGACATTTGTGTTGATTACAATAAATGTTTCAAAACCAATATTGTTGTTTCTTTTAATTTGATAACAAATTCCATCCATTTTAGCTATAATAAAGGTAACGCTATTTGTCAGGGCATTATTATTTGCAGAAGCCCTTGGTCTTTTCAGCTGCCCTCCTTTGTCGAGCAGTTAATGGAAGACCTCGGGCTTCTGCAAATGATAATGCCCTGACAAATAGCGTTACCGTTATAGTAGTCGTAGATGGAGAGTACTTGTTTACCCTGTGTGGTGAAGATATCAACGTTGTTATGGGACTTGTTTTGTCAACTCTGTTAGCTATCATTTCTCCTCTGACATTCCAGACTGTGTCGCTGCTGGAGCAGAGACTGACGATGACGGAGAACAAGCTACGCGAGTGTTTGGACAACCAACAAAAAATCACCCTGCAAGTCCGCCCCACAGACTGACGGCGTCCAGTACCCTGACGTTTGTCATCCCCAACAGACCGATCTTCATCACAACGTACATCCTGGCATCTAGCACTGTCTCTCTGAATGCCATGTGATGTGGTATAATGAGGAACAGAGAATAATTACAGCTCAGTTTTAAAGAATCCTTTAGTGGTAAAAGATGTGCAAGACCGAATGGGCCTACTTGGAGCTGCAGGGGGTGTGGCTGGGCGTGGCAGCTGTCTGCAGGCAGCTCTACCCTCAGCATGTGTCACTTGTCTAATCTCCCCACCTTATGCCACAGTTGGATGTCATAGTTGTAGATGTAGTTTTAAATTATTTTTCTATCTTTATGAAAATCTGTGATACTTGTACAGGTGTGTCTTATAGTCATCGGAACATTGGTCTTGTTCCTATTACTCAGATCTGTTATTACGTGTCGTTATTATCTGTGGTACGTTTAGAAATCCTTTCCTCACCAGCTGATGTCTACCAGTGTCACTGAGCAATAGATGGCTCAGAACCTGATACAGCTTAGCTCCAGGCCAGGGGAGACACGGATATTACAAAACATTTTTTTTACCTGTTTTAATCATATTCATGTACCTGTGCCCCATTTTGTTCTAAAAAATATTGTAAACAACAGTTTGTTTATTTCAAAGGTCCTATGTGGTTGTTTTGTGGTTTACTTCATGAACGTTTGGGCAGAATAAAAAAAAATAGCTTCAAGATGACTGGTTCTGGCCATGAAGCTTTGTTGCCTCCATTGTAAGTCACCTGGACCGTTGGCCATGAAAGAAATGCAATAAACCTAGAAAAAAACTCGACCTCCAGATGCTATGACTTCATCTACATGTTACTGTCTTGCTGCTGGGTGTACCTGCCCACTACCCCTGGGTCTGGTGGTGGCAGTTGACCAGATTGTATATCGTCAAGTGTACAGCTGGTGTAGATTTCTAGTGTTCAGTGGTAAACAAAGCTGAGTTGACTCGATCGTCCAGATTATGATATGTACACATGCAAGACAAGTGCTTACTTGCCTCAAATACGTAGTAGGGTGCTGATTGCTAGGAAGAAGTCATCATCCCGGAGGAAGGATCAGCTAGACACATCACCACCATTTTGTTTGATGTTATTAAGCTTGTAACATATTTCACAGAATAACTTTGGTTGAATGAGGAATGGGTGTGAAACATCATCAGACTGAGTTCCAGTCCTGGGATCAGCGGTACAGGATTACAGGACCATCTGGTACAGGGTTACAGGGTTACAGGACCAATATCACACCAAAGTGCCTGCTCTGGTACCTCGGGATCCATGGTACAGGGTTTCAGTACCAATATTGCACCCATGTGCTGATCAGATTCTGTGAGGACTACAAGCTAACCTGCTCTGGTACCTCGGGATCAATGGTACAAGGTTGCAGTACCAATATTGCACCCATGTGCTGATCAGATTCTGTGAGGACTACAAGCTAACCTGCTCTGGTACCTCGGGATCAATGGTACAAGGTTGCAGTACCAATATTGCACCCATGTGCTGATAGGATTCTGTGAGGACCACAAACTAACCTGCTCTGGTTCCGATGTCCATCCTCGTGTGTAATACATGCCCTGTAAGGAACAGAATCCATATCTTTGTATAATTTTGCTGATATTAAATTGTTAGTTTGTCAACTTTGAGCTATCAGACAAGAATTTGAATAAGTTCCAAGCACCCAACACCCAGTTCCTGGTTCTCTCCAGAGATGGGGCATGGGGTAGCCTTGTGGTTAAAGCATTTGCTCCTCATGCCGAAGGCCTGGGTTTGATTCTGGGTTTGATTCCCCACATGGGTACAATGTGTGAAGCCCATTTCTGGTGTCCCCCGCCGTGATATTGCTGGAACGTTGCTAAAAGCGCTGAAAGCTATACTCACTCACTCACTCCAGAGAGCTGCGATTGTTTCCCTGTGGCATTGACTGATCATTGATCACCCCCGTGTCATGCTGACTGTATTCTGCTTATGCTGTACATATGTGTGCCTGTGTAATCACTGAGTATATCATGTGTGTCTGTATGTATATATCAACAGCTGTAGTTTAACTGTGCCTATGAGGCGGTGTCTGACTGACAAAGTCTGTACAATAAACTTGTATATATATATATCCATCAAGTGTCATGTTGTGTCCATCATTGCTGATAGTTCGGACTGGCGTCCCTCTGTACGTTGAGTTGATTCCAGGACAGTTCTCATGAACATTTGTTATTGGAGGCTTTAGCATGGGGATTGGTTGGCAGTTATGGCAAATGGCTGGGTTTTTATTGAAAAAAAACAGTCCCCCAAATCTTGAAAAGACCATTATTCTTCCGACTGTTGAAAAAGAAAGAAATTGCCTGCCACAAAAATTACATTTTTGCAAGGTGTTATCTAAAAAAATCAGGTTCGTTGTTTTAAAAAAAAAGCAAATCTGGCCAGGTGATTATCTCAGTGGGGACTGAATGACAGGTGATTATCTCCGTCGGGACTGAATGACAGGTCATTATCTCCGTGGGGACTGAATGACAGGTGATTATCTCAGTGGGGACTGAATGACAGGTGATTATCTCAGTGGGGACTGAATGACAGGTGATTATCTCCGTGGGGACTGAATGACAGGTCATTATCTCCGTGGGGACTGAATGACAGGTCATTATCTCCGTGGGGACTGAATGACAGGTCATTATCTCCGTGGGGACTGAATGACAGGTCATTATCTCCGTGGGGACTGAATGACAGGGGATTATCTCTGTGGGGACTGAACACCAGGTCATTATCTCCGTGGGGACTGAATGACAGGTGATTATCTCAGTGGGGACTGAATGACAGGTCATTATCTCCGTGGGGACTGAATGACAGGTGATTATCTCCGTGGGGACTGAATGACAGGGGATTATTTCCGTGGGGACTGAATGACAGGTCATTATCTCCGTGGGGACTGACACCAGGTCATTATCTCCGTGGGGACTGAATGACAGGTCATTATCTCCGTGGGGACTGAATGACAGGGGATTATCTCTGTGGGGACTGAACACCAGGTCATTATCTCCGTGGGGACTGAATGACAGGTGATTATCTCAGTGGGGACTGAATGACAGGTCATTATCTCCGTGGGGACTGAATGACAGGTGATTATCTCCGTGGGGACTGAATGACAGGGGATTATCTCCGTGGGGACTGAACGTCAGGGGAATCTCTCAGTGGGGACTGAACGCCAGGGGATTATCTCAGTGGGGACTGAACGCCAGGGGATTATCTCCGTGGGGACTGAACACTAGGTCATTATCTCCGTGGGGACTGAACGCCAGGGGAATCTCTCAGTGGGGACTGAACGCCAGGGGATTATCTCAGTGGGGACTGAACGCCAGGGGATTATCTCAGTGGGGACTGAACGCCAGGGGATTATCTCAGTGGGGACTGAACACTAGGTCATTATCTCAGTGGGGACTGAATGCCGGGTGACAGTGGGGACAGCACATGCATCGTGACAGACACCACCATGCCTCTGTGCAAACGAGTGTAACAGTGATAACTCATGATCTTGGAAAAGTAAAATATTGTAGTCTTCTACTGGGGGTACAAGAGCAAGCTATCATGATTAGTAGGGCTGGGACGGTAACTCGGGTACCCGGGTCGGGCGGGTATCGAGTAGGACCCGGGTAGCCGCAGGACTACCCGGACCCGTGGCTAGTCACGTGATATATTGTTTAATGACAAAAACTGTCTAGACCTCTATGGTTACACTAAAAGTCACTAATGTTCGCATTTCTTTCTGACTGTGCATCCATTCCTTCTGATTTTTCATGTGGTTAAAAAAGATATAACTTAATTCAACTTCAGTGTATGAATGACCAGATTGTTTATACATGTATCTAAATACGTTTTGCCAGGGCTATGCTAAAAATGTTCCCAATCGGACATTTGGAGACATCTCCTGAGACCTCTGAGACCTGCAGTGGGTACCGGGGTGGGGTCGGGTAATAGGGGGATGGGTATCCGGGTAGGGTCGGGTAATAGGGGGATGGGTATCCGGGTAGTAAATTTAGACTCGTCCCAGCCCTAATGATCAATCACTTCCATCTTCCAAGGAAACTGACCCGTGAAGATCCGGGGTAGAATAGGTCTTCAGCAACCCATGCTTGCCGTAAAAGGCAACTATGCTTGTCGTAAAAGGCGACTAACGGTATCGGGTGGTCAGGCTCGCTGACTTGGTTAATGCATATCATCGATCCCAATTGCGTGGATCGATGTTCACTCATGATATTAATCACTGGATTGTCTGGTCCAGACTCAATTATTTACAGACCGCCGTCATATAGCTGGAATATTGCTGAGTGCGGCGTTAAACAACAAACCAAACCCCCCAAAAATCCTGGGAAACTAGAACATGGCATAACGCCACCCAGCCAGACATCAACCGCCATGCATGATAGACGAAACGCTATTTGTAGATTTTTCTTATGTAAAATGCCCCCCAAAAGCGTCCCACTGTTCAGTTTATGATGAGGCTATATCCATCATGTACATTAACAGCCAGGGGATAAAAACTCTGGGTGAGTTCAGGCCAGGAGAGAGCAGTCAGGCGTTTCAGGTGGAGCGTGTGTGTATTTACACGTTTATAGTTGGTGGCGGGCCAGGAGCAAACGAAAGACACTATAACCAACACAGGAAGCAGGACGAGCGTACTAAATCTAACAAAGGGGTAGTGTATGTTATTGTTTATTAATAGAGTATTTGTACCAGAAGAATATGGTAGAGTTGTATGGCCCTACAGAGTCATACCCGTTCTGATGGGTTTCATTGAAGTGGGGGGCGGTCGGGTAGCCTAGTGGTTAAAGCGTTCGCTCGTCACGCCGAAGACCCGGGTTCGATTCCCGACATGGGTACAATGTGTGAAACCCATTTCTGATGTCCCCCGCTGTGATATTGCTAGAATATTGCTAAAAGCGGCGTAAAACCATACTCACTCACTCACTCACACACTCATGGAAGTGGTACTGTACACACACGTCATACCCGTTCTGATGGGTTTCATTGAAGTGGTACCTGTACACACACAAAGTCATACGCGTTCTGATGGGTTTGTTTGAAGTGGTACCTGTACACACACAAAGTCATACCCGTTCTGATGGGTTTCATTGAAGTGGTACCTGTACACACACAAAGTCATACCCGTTCTGATGAGTTTCATTGAAGTGGTACCTGTACACACACAAAGTCATACGCGTTCTGATGGGTTTGTTTGAAGTGGTACCTGTACACACACAAAGTCATACCCGTTCTGATGGGTTTCATTGAAGTGGTACTGTACACACACAAAGTCATACCCGTTCTGATGGGTTTCATTGAAGTGGTACTGTACACACACATTATACCCGTTCTGATGGGTTTCATTGAAGTCGTACCTGTACACACACAAAGTCATACCCGTTCTGATGGGTTTCATTGAAGTGGTACTGTACACACATGTCATACCCGTTCTGATGGGTTTCATTGAAGTGGTACTGTACACACATGTCATACCCGTTCTGATGGGTTTCATTGAAGTGGTACTGTACACATATGTCATACCCGTTCTGATGGATTTCATTGAAGTGGTACCGTGCACACAGGTCATACCCGTTCTGGTGGGTTTCATTGAAGTGGTACTGTATACACACATCATACCCGTTCTGATGGGTTTCATTGAAGTGGTACCTGTTCACACAACGTCATACCCGTTCTGATGGGTTTCATTGAAGTGGTACCTGTACACTAACAAAGTCATACGCGTTCTGATGGGTTTCATTGAAGTGGTACCTGTACACACACAAAGTCATACGCGTTCTGATGGGTTTCATTGAAGTCGTACCTGTACACACACAAAGTCATACCCGTTCTGATGGGTTTCATTGAAGTGGTACCTCTACACACACAAAGTCATACCCGTCCTGATGGGTTTCATTGAAGTCGTACCTGTACACACACAAAGTCATACCCGTTCTGATGAGTTTCATTGAAGTGGTACCTGTACACACACAAAGTCATACCCGTTCTGATGGGTTTCATTGAAGTGGTACCTGTACACACACAAAGTCATACCCGTCCTGATGGGTTTCATTGAAGTGGTACCTGTACACACACAAAGTCATACCCGTTCTGATGGGTTTCATTGAAGTGGTACCTGTACACACACAAAGTCATACCCGTCCTGATGGGTTTCATTGAAGTGGTACCTGTACACACACAAAGTCATACCCGTTCTGATGGGTTTCATTGAAGTGGTACCTGTACACACACAAAGTCATACGCGTCCTGATGGGTTTCATTGAAGTGGTACCTGTACACACACAAAGTCATACCCGTTCTGATGGGTTTCATTGAAGTAGTACCTGTACACACACAAAGTCATACCCGTCCTGATGGGTTTCATTGAAGTGGTACCTGTACACACACAAAGTCATACCCGTTCTGATGAGTTTCATTGAAGTGGTACCTGTACACACACAAAGTCATACGCGTTCTGATGGGTTTGTTTGAAGTCGTACCTGTACACACACAAAGTCATACCCGTTCTGATGGGTTTCATTGAAGTGGTACCTGTACACACACAAAGTCATACGCGTTCTGGTGGGTTTGTTTGAAGTGATGATAACTGTTCACACAAGCAGCGTCATTTACTTGTAACATTGAGGTGACAACTCACTCATGCATTCACCATGTGAAACCCAATGAAACGCTGTGTAAATGTGAACGTTTTCAACCGTCAGCCAAAGGAGAGACATCCTACCCCAGTGGTGTGAATCGGTGCGCATCGTTGTGAAACGGTGTGGATCGGTGTGAACCAATGCGCATCGTTGTGAAACGGTGTGAATCGGGGTGGATCGTTGTGAAACTGTGTGTAACGGTGTGAATCGGGGTGGATCGGTGTGAAACGGTGTGGAACGGTGTGAATCGGGGTGGAATCGGTGTGAAACGGTGTGGATCGGTGTAAATCGGGATGGATCGTTGTCTCGCTCTGCACATGCCTCATATATCCCAGCCGCTGCGATATGGCGAGAATATAATTGCGGCGGCAAGCAACATCCACTCTCAGTGTCCTCCCTTTATAGACTGACTCCTACTTCTACTGTGTAGAGGTTACAAACACTTAT